TGTGATCTACAAGACTTCACCCCTACAGCCTGCGAGACCTAAATGTGGGATCTTTGTCTGTGTGTCGTGTGACCTACAAGACTTCACTCCTACAGCCTGCGAGACCTAAATGTGGGATCTTTGTCTGTGTGTCTTGTGATGTACAAGACTTCACTCCTACAGCCTGCGAGACCTAAATGTGGGATCTTTGTCTGTGTGTCGTGTGATCTACAAGACTTCACTCCTGCAGCCTGCGAGACCTAAATGTGGGATCTTTGTGTGTCGTGTGATCTCAAGACTCCACCCCTGTAGCCTGCGAGACCTAAATGTGGGATATTTGTCCGTGTGTCGTGTGACCTACACGACTTCACTCCTACAGCCTGCGAGACCTAAATGTGGGATCTTTGTCTGTGTGTCGTGTGATCTACAAGACTTCACTCCTACAGCCTGCGAGACCTAAATGTGGGATCTTTGTCTGTGTGTCGTGTGATCTACAAGACTTCACTCCTGTACCCTGCGAGACCTAAATGTGGGATCTTTGTCTGTGTGTCGTGTGACCTTCAAGACTTCACCCCTACAGCCTGCGAGACCTAAATGTGGGATCTCTGTCTGTGTGTCGTGTGATCTGCAAGACTTCACTCCTACAGCCTGCGAGACCTAAATGTGGGATCTTTGTCTGTGTGTCGTGTGACCTACAAGACTTCACTCCTGTAGCCTGCGAGACCTAAATGTGGGATCTTTGTCTGTGTGTCGTGTGATCTGCAAGACTTCACTCCTACAGCCTGCGAGACCTAAATGTGGGATCTTTGTCTGTGTGTCGTGTGATCTTCAAGACTTCACCCCTGCAGCCTGCGAGACCTAAATGTGGGATCTTTGTCTGTGTGTCGTGTGACCTACAAGACTTCACTCCTACAGCCTGCGAGACCTAAATGTGGGATCTCTGTCTGTGTGTCCGTGTGATCTGCAAGACTCCACCTTTGCCCGCACCAGCAACAGTGGCCAAGTCGGCTTCCAAGGGCGTTCGCGAGCCCCTTGCCACGGCGAAGATGGTGAATAAAAAGCGAAAGTCACCCTACAGGTCGGACTTTGAGAGCTCGGAAGGCATGGATTTGACGGTGAGTTAACGCGACCGCTTTGATCGAGATTCTTTGGACGCCGCAATGGGACTCGATCCACTCTCGTAGGGGAAGGAGCGGCTCGCTTGACCCCAGGGATGATTCGCCTCATGCCAGGGTCACTTGTGGATGTTCGTGCTGATTCGAGGCATTCCTCCTAATGTACGGCGCGCAGTCAAAACACTCAACGCCGGAACAACTGGGGGGAGAGCCTTTCCCGTTATGGGGGGCTGACTGGCATGCCGCAGATAATTAAACATTTGCTATAATCTAATGAAAATAGTTGCTTGATAATTGCATGGCTGTGTAATTGGAATCTTAAGGCATTAATTTGACAATTGGCATTAAAATATAAATTTTAAATAAAACAAACAATCTCTACTCTGCAGTTTAATGCGAGTCTCCATCACCATGAAGCGGAACGAAAGGCCGAGGTCACTGGGTGCGTGGAGGTGGAATAAACATCGTGGCGAGCTTGAAGCATTTTGTTAAATAACCGTAGGATGGATGTGCCAGAGACGGAGCGCTCACAAAGCATGCCCGTGACCAGGGGGACGGGTTTCTGAATTCTCAAACATCTCAACGTGCAACACCTCGACGCAGATTTCAGATTTGCCCGTGCGATGTGCGCACGGGAGAACTGATTTTTTTTGTAAAGTAAATTACGTAAAAAAATTTCAGGAAGCCTTTTGTCTTAACGCCGTATTCCAGCAAGGCCGAATATGTTTTGTTAAATTGCAGGATCTTTTACGAACATGGATTGACTCTTCCTTATAAACAAACTGCCAAATCGCTTTTTTCCGTGGCGCTAACGTTTTAAAAATAAATAAATACAAGCACCGTTTATAAATAAATAAATACAAGCACCGTTTAAAAATAAATACAAACCGCCACTTCTTTCAAATGTTTCTTGCCATTGGTTTTTTCATACCTGATGACGACCGTTTGCGTTACGGTCGAAACGTGAGAATTTTTTTTATTGTTTTACGTATATTTTATCGTTTCCCTTCAACGTGACTTCACCAAAAGAGCTAAGGGTATGAATCGCTGCAGTCACGAAAGCTTTAAATCAAGATTTATCGTCGTCGATATTTACGAATGCTCGTTAGGCGGATGAACAGCTGAGAGAAAGTGCGTCTGGCGCGATCCTGTCCAAGCGAACCGGCAAGGCCAGGGCAGCAGGCAAGGTGAGAGTCTCCGACGTCTTCCTCATGTGGATGTCGAGGTTTCGCTGACGCGGCACCAATGGTGCCTGGACCAGGTTCAACCTGAACTGTTTATGTCACATGCTAGTCCCTCACGTTAACATCATGCTAATCTCCAAGTTACATGCTAGTGCCTCACGTTAACATCCTGCTAATCTCCCAGTTACATGCTAGTCCCTGACGTTAACGTCCTGCTAATCTCCCAGTTACATGCTAGTCCCTCACGTTAGCATCATGCTAATCTCCCAGTTACATGCTAATTCATCACATTAACATCCTGTTAATCTCCCAGTTACATGCTAATTCTTCACACTAACATCCTGCTAATCTCCCAGTTACATGCTAATTTATGACTTTAACATCCTACTAATCTCCCAGTTACATGTTAGTCCCTCACGTTAGCATCATGCTAATCTCCCAGTTACATGCTAATTCCTCACATTAACATCCTGCTAATCTCCCAGTTACATGCTAATTCATCACATTAACATCATGCTAATCTCCCAGTTACATGCTAATTCCTCACATTGACATCCTGCTAATCTCCCAGTTACATGCTAATTCCTCACAATAACATGTTAATCTCCCAGTTACATGCTAGTCCCTGACGTTAACATCATGCTAATCTCCCAGTTACATGCTAATTCCTCACATTAACATCATGCTAATCTCCCAGTTACATGCTAATTCATCACATTAACATCATGCTAATCTCCCAGTTACATGCTAATTCCTCACATTAACATCATGCTAATCTCCCAGTTACATGCTAATTTGTCACTTTAACACCCTGCTAATCCAACACATTAACACAGCTACTTCAATGCTAAATCCTTCTGTTGATATATAAACTCCTTTGTCAAGGTGCTCTGCTCCTCCCACCCAGCTTAAAAGATGCTGCCAAGCTTAGCGGTGTTCACTGGAGCGCCGTCTTCCCGACAGTTCTGTTGCTTCACCTGAGGACGGCTGCTTGTGTTGTGGCCGAAACGTCGCCCCCCCCGGCTCCGTCGCCCCCCCCCCCCCCCGAATGAGCTGTTTTAATGAATGGGATTGATTACTTCATCAAGTGACTTCACTTTTAATGGAAACAATTTCCTCAACTGAATATCCGTAACCGGGGCCTTGAAACGACTCAGGCAAGCTTTGAAACGTGGCTGTGCCAAGTTGCAGCAGCTACGTCATTGAGGCATTTGTGGAATGAAATTGGTCGTGGCTGGAGTGCACGCGGTGTGGCAAAATGTGGTTGGAGGAGGTGAACCTAGAAATTGATTTGACCTCTGAAGCTGCCCAAGTTAATTTGTTTCTAATCACTGTTTACATTTCCCTCAGAACCTTGGTGATGCCGAGGGGTCAGGTGACTCCGATGACGATGACACGGACACAATCCGAGTGAGGCTTTACCACTACACTTTAAATTCTTGGCAAAATTGTTCGTGGCAAATGTTGAATATACCTTGCGGGGGTCTGCTAACGATATCAGGTGTTGCTGCGAAGTTGCCGAGGATATGCCTGCATAGTATTGGATTCATATTCTTGGTTCTTTCGGTAAAAATAAAACAACACGAAAGTTAGTTTTATTTCTTCTATTGTCCGCTTGTCTCATTGCATTGCTTCTAGGCGTCTCATTCCCAGTCCGCGTATAGCAGCGTCACTTCTATTGTCTGCTTATCTCATTGCATTGCTTCTAGGCGTCTCATTCCCAGTCCACGTATAGCAGCGTCACTTCTATTGTCTGCTTATCTCATTGCATTGCTTCTAGACGGTCGCTCCCATTCCCAGTCCGCGTATTGCAGCGTCAATGCCGGTCACCCGATCGGTCACCCACCCAATTTAAGCCAACAATTTTGACCGATCTTTAAAAGGGCCCACTCTTATCAGATCTCAGACGCCAAGCAGGGTTTAGCCGGTGCAATACTTGCATGGGAGACTGCCGGGGACTACCAGGCTTGGCCTACGAGGTGGTCAGGAGATGGCAGTGCAGCCATGGATTCTTGAATCTATCAAGTGTGGAGCTTTTGAGTGCTCCCCCTCCCCCCCTCTTTTATGTAAACGCTGTTTAATGTTTGCAATAATATTGTGTTCGTGTCACATGTTTGGAGCCCTCGTTTTCACGCTTCTACATTCTTGTTTTTGTGGCATGGAGACTCCCGTCGGCTGTAATCATTCCACTTTCCAGACGGAGGCCTCCCCGCGCAATCGCCACCTCTCTCGCGATCCTGCAGATCTATAACGATCCACACTTAGCGCCTGTGCACGCGGGGCTCAACTCGTCGCTCCGTCTCCTCGGTTGGCGCCGCCTCGGCCGAGTATCTTCCATTGGGCGCCGCTCCGGTCCGTTTTTTCCCAGACCATCGTCCCATCGTCCCTCTCCTGCCCAGGCCGGCTTCTCTCGACAGTTTGAACGACGTCACGAACCCCCATGTGTATCATCCGACCCTCGTGTTGTCCGTGCAGTACGTGCGTGTGTTGAACTTCTTTGGCACCACGGTGCGTCGCCACGAACCCCATGTACATTATCTGACCCTCGTGTTGTCCGTACGTACGTACGTACGTGCGTACGTACGTGTTGAACTTCTTTGGCACCACCGCGCGTAGCCAACCGTGCCAATCGGAGGAGGTGCGGGCTGGACGGACGACGAAAACGTTGTTCCTTTCACCGTCTCTCGGCGTGATCCCAAGCGGAGCATCTCGCCGTGCTTCTTTACGAGCGCCTCTGCGTTTGCGTCCCCGCGTCTTTGCGGCCGTTGACGATGGCGGTGTTGTCGTGGCGTCTCCGATGTGTCCGCTTGTCGCAGGCGAGCGAGGTCTCAAGAAAAGCCGCGTCGACGAGAAAGGTGAAACGAGGGAGGATGGTCCCTGCGTTGCCTCCCGGCAAGCGTCCTGCAAAAGAGTGGGGCAACATCTTTGACTGGTTTGAGGATCCAGACGTCGACGCTTTTGAACCCGAGGATTTTAAAATAAGCGGGGTTTTTTTTTGAGCGACGTCGTTTTGACGTTGTTTTGACGTTGTTTTGACGTTGCTTTGACGTTGTTGTAACGTTGTTTTAACGTTGTTTTAACGTTGTTTTGGCGTTGTTTTAACGTTGTTTTGACGTCGTTTTGACGTCGTTTTAACATCGTTTTGACGTCGTTTTGACGTCGTTTTGACGTTGCTTTGACGTCGCTTTGACGTTTTGACGTCGTTTTGACGTTTTAACGTTGCTTTAACGTTGTTTTGACGTCGTTTTAACGTTGTTTTGACGTTTTGACGTTGTTTTGACGTTTTAACGTTGTTTTGACGCTGTTTTAACATTGTTTTAACGTTTTAACGCTATGTTTTGCGTTCAATGTTCTTGGCGAAATGGTGGCCAGGGTGGAGACTTTTAGCCACCGCGGTTAAAATGTTTTGGGTGTTCAGTTTTAAGTAAGTGTCTTTCTGTTGATTTAAAGCTTTCGTGACTGCAGGGATTTATATTCTTGGTTCTTTCGGTAAAGTCACCACCGCGTAGAAGGGAAACAATAAAATAATAAAAATATAAAACAATACAATTCTCACGAAGTTTCGACTGCAACACAAGAAGCAATCATCATCAGGTGTGAAAACCACAGCAAGAACATTTGAAAAAAGTGGCGTTTTTTTCTTCAAATGTTCTTGCTGTGGTTTTCACACCTGATGATGATTGCTTCTTGTGTTTCAGTCGAAACGTCGTGAGAATTTTATTGTTTTATATTTTTATTATTTTATTGTTTCCCTTCTACGCGGCGGTGACTTTACCGATAGAACCAAGAATAATAAAAGTGTCTTTCACCAATTTTCAGAGAGGAGGCGGGGGGGGACACTTTCTCCCATAAGTTTGAGTCGGGCGGCCACACATTTGAAACCACAGCTGGGGTTGACAGCAGCATGATCATGATGATTGGGGGTGGGGGGTGGGGTTTTCACATTTGTGTATTGTCGGGGGGGGGGGGGCGCACGTCAGAGGGCCGCGCTAAAGGCCGATCAGTGGCCGCCAGTGGCCTGCGGGCCTTGCAATGAAGAGCGAACTCTTGTGTAGGTCGACGTTTGAAGGCCACGCCAGTCAAGTGGTGAATAAACAACAACAACAACAACAAGCTGGGTCATTCGGAATAGGCGGCACATGGTTCACGTCGGTAGCAATGAACTGGCCATAAACTTATTTGTTTATTTCGGTAAAGTCACCACGTGGAATGAGAATAAATTATTAAATTAAAATAACACGATAAAATTCTCACGACGTTTCGGCCACAACACGAAACGTCGTGAGAATTTTATCGTGTTATTTTATCAATTTATTATTTTATTCTCATTCTACGCGGTGGTGACTTTACCGAAAGAACCAAAGAAGATGAATCCTTGCAGTCACGAAAGCATTAAATCGAAATTTGGCCATGAACTGTTTAATAAAGACGCTTGGCAGAACAGGAGCAGTACAACTTCACTGACGGGCGTGGACTTTCGTGGTAATGTATACGTTGCGATTGTAAAGTAAATGTTCGTTTTGTTCCGTTCGTTGCTATAATATCGCTTCATCGAGTGCCGTCCCGTAAGGGCGACGTCAAGCGTACGCTCGAAATTAAAGCGCTTAAAAATCTGCGAGCAATTCCGTACTGTTTTTTTTTGTTTGTTCAGCGTAAGGAAATACATCGGGAAAGGTCGCGAGTTCAATTCCGATTTAAAGCTTTCGTGACTGCAAGGATTCATCTTCTTTGGTTCTTTCGGTAAAGTCACCACCGCGTAGAATGAGAATAAAATAATAAAATAACAAAATAAAATAACGCAATAAAATTCTCACGACGTTTCGGCCACAACACAAGCGGCCTTCATCAGGTGAAGGGACGAGACCTGTCTGGAGGACAGCGCTGTCGCGAGTTCGTTAAACCCCGTCGCGAGCGTCGACTCGGCCCCTTCGCAACTTTCGGCGTTGTTGACGTCGTCGCCGCTGGCGGGCGTCAACGGCGGTTCGTCCTAACGGCTTCAGAAAGTCGATGAGTCGTCACCGTCGCTGTCGACGCTACGCCCGGGGTCTTCTCCAGGTGGCTCTCCGGAGTCCGGAGGCGGCGGCGCGTTTCCCGTGGCGATGTTGCAGATTCTCGGAGGCGTTGACGTTTTTTTTTTTTAAGCGCCCTGCATTCACGACGGCGGAGGAGGGGCGGGTGACTGGTGCGTGTACAATGCCTACGGGATTGAGTGGCGTACTTTCACGCGACTGACAAAAAAAAACAGGAGTTGCTCAGTCACGTTTCTGCGAAGACTTGGAGATGTCCCACGGGAGGCTGACCTCGATGAGAGGGCGATCTTGGGAGAACCATCGCCGGTGGCAAACTCCCGCAGTAAAGATTTAAAAGCAATAACCGTGGCAATCTAAATTTTGATTTGAAGCTTTCGTGACTGCAGGGATTGATATTCTTTCGGTAAAGTCACCACGTAGAAGGGAAACAATAAAATAATAAAAATATAAAACAATAAAATTCTCACAACGTTTCGACTGCCATACGAGCAATCATCATCAGTTGTGAAAACCACAGCAAGAAAATTTGAAAAAAGTGGCAGTTATTTTTAACGTTAGCACCACGGAGAGCGATTTGACAAGTTTGTTCAGATGGACGAGTCCATCTATGTTCGGAAAAGAGGAGGGGGGAGACGGAAATAATTGATGCGGTCTGAAAGCCACCATAAGCGTGAACAATCAATTAAGACCCGAAATGGTTTATCAAATCCTTCCAATGATTGCTAAGCCAGAATCCATCTTCTCGGTTGAAATTGTCTCTGTGTTTGTGGATAGCCTCATGAACGAATATCTCATGGTAGCCACATGGCTTGCAGAGAACCTCTGTCTTGGAGAAGTCAATGTCATGTGAGCCTACTTATTTTATTGTTTCCTTTCTACGTGACTTTACCGAAAGAACCAAGAATACGTGGCAATCTGAACAATAGACAACATCTACATTAACATCCAGTAGTAGTAGGCTTCTTTAATAACGAGGAATAACGTGAACAATAAACTGCATCTACATCCAGTAGTAGTAGGCTTCTTGAATAACGAGGAATAACGTGAACTATAAACAACATCTACATTAACATCCAGTAGTAGTAGGCTTCATTAATAACGAGGAATAACAACGTGAATAATAAACATCTACATTAACATCCAGTAGTAGTAGGCTTCTTTAATAACGAGGAATAACAACATGAACAATAAACATCTACATTAACATCCAGTAGTAGTAGGCTTCTTTAATAACGAGGAATAATAACATGAACTATAAACAACATCTACATTAACATCCAGTAGTAGTAGGCTTCTTTAATAACGAGGAATAACGTGAACAATAAACAACATCTACATTAACATCCAGTAGTCGTTGTTTTTGGGTGATGAATGTCATTAAACCCGCCACCACCCGGCATGGCCAACCAGTAAGGGTTTAGAAAGTTAGAAAAATGTGGCATGAGTTTAGGACTCACAGCTTGGATGTTGGAGAGGAACTCATTTTGTATACTGACGCAACCTTACGAATTGGCAGTGTCGGGCGGTGGCGGTGTTTAACGACTACAATACTATACACTACACTATACACAACACTACTATACACTACACTACTATACACTACACTACTATACACTACTATACACTATACTACTGTAGTGGGTTCCAGGACACGGAGACGGCAGAATAGAAGCAGCACTATTTATTTAAACCTTAACAAGGGTTACACTAGAAGGGGTAGCGGCCCCTCCACCCGTATAACTCAGGAACACACCCCAGGCTCTCTAGCCTAAGCTCTAGGCTCCCAGTTCCTCCTGGTAGGGCTCTAAGGGAGGCTATCAGATCCGGCCCTGGTTAGGCACAGATCTCGGCACCCCGCCGACCAGACCGGCCCTTAGAAGGACTCTGACTCTGGGGCTCTGGGGCCGCACCACTGGCTTGCTGTGCCGGCCCTGAAAAGGGCAGCGGTCACAGGAGTTCCAGGGTCTCACCTAGCTGGCTCTTCACTGGTTGCTTCAGCCTCGGGCCCCACACTCTGCCCCGAGCTCCCTGGCTCCCCGCACTTTATACCCACTGGAGCCTTAGTGGACGTTGTAGCCACCAAGGTGTGGGTGAACCACACCTTCCCGTGCCATGTGTTTATTCCCCATAGCACCCCTACACTTGTATATGTGAATGGCCTCATGAACGAATCTCTCATGGTAGCCGGTTGGTTTGCAAAGAACCTCCGTCTTGGAGAAGTCAATGTCATGTGAGCCCACTGAATTATAACAGTGATCTGCCACGGCAGAGGAGTTCGTCCTACCGTGTTTCAAGTCTGCTTTATGTTCACGGATGCGGTCCGAGATATGTCGTTTGGTTTCTCCAATGTAGCTACTACCACAGAGGCACTTTAGTTTGTAAACGCCTGGGTACTGTATGTCTGGAACAGCATCTTTTACAGATGGAACTAGATCACGGATTTTATGTATTGTGTTGAATCGGACCTGGATCTTGTGTTTATTCAGGATTTTGGAGATCTTTTTAGTGACCCCTGCAATGTAGGGTAAGGTGATGGTTTTGAGTGGCTCCACAAGAGAATCCTTCTTCATGACTGGAGTGATGGCTTTGCGGATTGTGTAGTCGGAGTAACCATTAGCCCTGAGAGCCTGGTGTACGTGCATGAGTTCACTGGTAATGTGTTCCTGGTCGGAAATGAATTGGGCTCTATGGTATAGAGTCTTGATGAGGGAGTTTTTCTGGGATGGATGGTGGTGGGAATCCGGTTTCAAGTAAGCATCTGTATGGGTGGCTTTCCTGTAGACAGAGTGGCTCATTGAACCATCATGTCTCCTTTTAATTAAGACATCCAAAAAGGGTAGTTTGCCATCTTTTTCGACCTCCATGGTAAATCTGATGGCTGGGTGTATGGAATTGATGTGGTCACGGAATTGGTCTAGAGCAGGCTGGCCATGTGGCCAGATGACAAAGGTGGCATCCACGTACCTCTTCCATAAGGTTGGGCGTAGAGTGGCAGTCTGGATGGTGTTAGTTTCAAAATTTTCCATGAATACGTTGGCTACAACCGGAGATAGGGGGAGCCCATTGGGGTGCCCTCTGTTTGTAGAAAGTTCCATTCCAGGTGAAGTGTGTGTTGGTTAAGCAATGTCTCACCAGGGGGGGTACATCAGTGTGCAGTCCTTGATGAACCAGGTCTTCAATGATAGCGATGGTGTCAGGTACCGGGACTTTGGTGAACAAGGACACCACATCAAAACTGACAAGCAGGTCGTCTGGGGACAGGGAAATGCCTTTGATTGTCGATACCAGGTGAGTAGAATTTAGTACCGCAGAGGTGGTTTTTCCAGTGAAAGGTCGCAGTATATCAGCAAGAAAACGTGCCAGTTTATTATTTTTTTATTCTCATTCTACGTGACTACCGAAAGAACCAAAGAAGATGAATCCTTGCAGTCACGAAAGCTTTAAATCGAAATTTAACCGCCTCTACGGGGAGGGATTTCACACATCCTTAAGATCATTCAACAGACTCCGGGATAAGAAGGCTCAACTAATCGAGTCTCTCACCTTTCTGAAGAGATGCCGTGACTCTAAGGTAATACCAACCGCATTTACACTAACCTCTGCTGTTGCAACTTCTCTCAATGCAAAACGAATTCTAGCTAGAACTAGCTTCGCTCTTATCTCGGAAAAAATCAGACTTACACGCACCGAACTCGATCAGTTAGACAAGACACTCTACAAATCACACTTAACATTAACAGCAACAATTTCTACATCGGATTGGGAACATGTAGACAATATGACTACCTCTTCGGCTGCCACTATGTCGCCCAAATGTAGGGACAATATGATTTCCAAATTCAATCACGTCTCCAACAAAAAATCGGACCCACACACCGAAAAGATAGACGTCAACAAAGTCGTAATTAATCGCAGTAACAGTTCCATTTCTGATGGTCTGAAATCCGTTTTAGCTAAAGGTCTAAACTTTGCTGTCACACCGAGACACTTACCGGTTAATGATATCATTGCCCATGTCGACGTTGCACTCAAGGGCTTGAGTCCCATCGCTGCAGACGTAGCAAGATCTGAAATCGCTGCAACCCTCAAAAACGCTAAGTTGCCACCCAGCAACTGCTGCGCCGCTCGACCAGGGGGGGCTGCAGCCGTGCGGTGACCATGTGGTGGTCAGAGAAACCCGTCGGGACCACCCGACTCTCGCCGAGCAGGTTGGCCCCGTCCGGGCTGATGCAGAGGCGGTCGAGCCTCGCGAGGCTGTTCCGCCCCTGAGCGCCGCACCTGCACCACATGTATTGGCGCTGTGCGGGATGTTGGAGGCGCCACGCATCAAGCAACCGCTGTCTGTTCACGATTTCGGCCAGTGCCCTCGCGGCCTCCGGGTGGGGTTCAACGCCGTTGCGGTCGAGGGCCGGGTTTAGGGTCCATACTTCACCACGCTGGTCAGTGTGGGATGGTAAACGGGGGAAGTCCCAGGGACGATGAATAAATATGTAACTCTCCACTGATGTGAGTCACGGCTGCGAATTCAACTCAGATTTCTGGGTTCATGTGTATGTTCATCATCATTTTCATCAGCCATAATCCACTCCCAAAACCGTTGGCATCTCTCATGGTCCTGGGATGTAGCGATCCATTTAGCACCGCGTAAGAACAGGACGCCTTCTTGATTCGATAATTACTCGATACAAGACGTACACAAGCTGAAGAATCAGACTGGCGAACGAGAGGCACAATTGAAATAAATACATCGTGACACGGTTGGCATAGATGAGGTGAGAAGGAAAGGAGAGCACCCCATACCTCTGAAGAGTGGCATAACCTTTCCTATCATAGGGGCACAGCTGACAGTAATTCTAGAGGAATGGGATTATATTATTGCTGTCTCTGAGAATCGCACATCGTGTTTGATCGCTCTCATCGGATAGGGCGACCTGAAAAACTGGCGGTGTACTTTCTCACTCTCGCTTGTGTACAATTACGGGTTACCAGAGCACAGAATGCAAGCTCACATTCACTCGGGTAAGATGGGCTGCAAGCACAGTGGCCAGATGTTAACTACCTCGCCTGGTATACAGGAGGTCGTTGGTTCGATCTCGACCCTGACGCCTGCTGCTGTATATTTGGATGTTCCCCCATTGATCGTGTGGCTTTTTCTCCGAGTCCTCCGGTTTTTCCCTCCCCATTCAGAAGCATGCGTTTGGAGTATTTGGCTGCTAGAAATTTTCACACGATAAGCCACTTCGTTGAGCTATCATTTGTGGCTAGGTCACTTCTAAAAAAAAGAGCTTCATAGCTCAGTGGGCCCTGGTAAAATAAAAAATAGTTTTAATTTAGTATGAGAGCGCAACATTCTCGTCGGTAATGGCATAAGACAGGAGGCGGCAGTGTATACGTGGTGCATCTGCGTTCGAGGCTTAGCCAATTTTCACAGCCTCAGATCAATCCACTGCTGGATGATGCCTTTCCCCATATTATATGGGTCGCTTGACCATACTGCACCACACTGGTCAATGCGGTTTGTTTGAAGGGGTCCAGATATCACTTCCAATTCATGTTATAGTCATTCCCTGTAATCGAACTTACAGTGAGGGAAAAAAGTATTTGATCCCCTGCTGATTTTGTACGTTTGCCCACTGACAAAGAAATGATCAGTCTATAATTTTCATGGTAGGTTTATTTGAACAGTGAGAGACAGAATAACAGCAACAAGAATCCAGAAAAACGCATTTCAAAAAGGTTATAAATTGATTTGCATTTTAATGAGGGAAATAAGTATTTGACCCCTCTGCAAAACATGACTTAGTACTTGGTGGCAAAACCCAGGAGTGTCCCACTTTTGTAGAGGAAACCTTTACAGCAAAATCATCAAACACCCACCACCCCCACCCCACTACCGTTCCCAAAGTCCGCCGAGTGGAAGGTCATGGCAACGCAAGAAAGTCCACTGATCTTTCACGAGGCCAGGACTCCCCACGCCCGTGTCTGAGGGTTCTAAGGTCAACTGTAGTTTAGATTAACAAAAATATCTGAATGCAACCGCAACTCACAAAATAACAAAATTAACCCAGAATGCACCAAATCTCGTCAGATCTTTGAAGCTCAGCCGGGGAAGAGCCTGGGTTTAGTGCTTAATTTGAAGACTGTCTGGGAAAAGCAGACGTTTCAGGCCTTGCGCTGCAAGTTGGCCAACAGATGTCTGTGTACGGTGATGCTTTTTATATTCTTGGTTATTTTGGTAAAGTCACGTAGAAGGGAAACAATAAAATAAAAATATAAAACATCTATGCAGTTGTCGAGTGTTACCCCCCCCCCCCCACCACCTTTCGTATGCACAGGTAATCTCCGAGTTACTCCGGTTTCCTCTCACGAGCCAAACAAGCTACAAAGGAATTGGTCGAACATCTGAACGCTGGAACTTCATGAATACAAAATCTCAGAAACAGTCAGGATTTCCTGAGTAAATGAACGGGAAAAAAAATATTCTGACAGTATTATTATTATCACCCACGGATGCGCATGTGAGCGGGGCTTAATTTCAACCACGTCCCACACACGGCACACCACGTCCAGTACGCACGTCTCGCACTACGGCCGTGGCTACACAAAAGAAATCACGTGTGCCTCCTCCGGTCTACCAGCGACCCGGAAAATATTCCATGAGAAATGTAAGGCCTCCTCGTGTGCGGGCGCGCCACGCGTGAAGACTGAATGGACTTTGGGGGGCTCTGGTCCTCTGGTTGTACGTGGAATGTACGGGGGGTGTGGTGGTTGGCCCAACTGGATGCGGACCGCTATAAATTCCGTGCACTGCACAAACCCCCGGAATAAAACCACGGCCTTTGCCGGACCACTGGGGGCAACCAGCGAGCTAAAAAGAGGTCAGAGTTGGAAAAGGTCCACCCCCCCCTCCCCCTTCTTTCTCTCCCCCTCACTTGTGAAAATGACTGAACAATTTGTTCGATTACAATGCCATTGTTTCGAAGAGATCAAACGGATTATCTTTCGTCTTGGCTACACAGCCGTACGTGTGCGTGTATACATCCCCCGTTTGTCAATCCACTGCTGGATAAGGGCTCACGCCACCCAGCAGTCGGTAGTGAGGGGTTATCTGACCACACGTCAGTGTGTCTTGATAAAGCTCAGGGGGAGTACAGACACAAAATGGATTTAGCTGCACTGCCCGGAACGCCCACTACTACTGCACCTGTGTTTTGTGCAAGGTGGTCGCCCATCCGAGCAGTATCCAGGCTCAAAACCTGCTCAGACGAGATAGGTGCGCGGTTAGGCCGCAGGCCAATAGGGGTCGCATGCAGACACTTCTAGAACACAAATCGCATGTCATTGTGGTTTGCGTTGACAACACTGCACGTCGGCGTCACGAGCGACTAGTCGCCATGCTGTGGACCCTGGGCAATAATCATTGGCAAATAAAAACAGATAAGTAGCTGGATATAAGCACACCTGCTATAAGCACAGTTCTTATATGGCAACACATTCTTACGTTACACTGGTGGCCTTGCTCTGTAAAGGGTGTGCTTATATCCAGATTCTACTGCAACTGGCGGGCGTGTTAGGAAAACTTGATAACCCACACAAGCAGCACACCTTCGTGAGAGGTAGGGCTTTGTAAAAGAGAGTAAGGGGATGGAAGAGATGATGCGAGCGAATGTTTTAAGGCCACTGTGCGGAACATCTGTACGGGGAAAGTTGTATTGTCAAGCGCTTCAAAGAAGTCACACGTGGGGTTAGAGAGAAGAATAATAAGTGTGGGTTACCAGGTTATTCTGGGACACCCCTCGATTGTGGTGCAATTGCTAGAGACCCTACGACAGCACCGTCACATTTGATCATCAACCGCAACTAAATCATTATTAACATCTAAAGATTCCAGTAATAATAAGCGACTTAACATCACCATTCCTGCCTCCCCAATCTAATTACAGTGGCGAGTAAGTTCACCGAGCGAGCGATGTCAATTATAATGATGTTCTAAAGCGTTTGGAGAGCTTAAAATTTAAAGAACGAGAGCGGAGTCTCGACATTTACGACTTGGAAAAATTGAAAAACCGCCATTTTAATGACAGGCCCCTCAAATGTAAGACCAAAACATTTTAGACTTGGGCGTCTTATTTTTTCACAAACTCAGACTTAATCAAGTTTGCATCTGGAGATGCTGAAGGGTGACACATTCCAAACATGACATCAGATTTTAAAATCCGAAAACTGCGATTTGCCCTCTTAAAAATTCCGTGGGCTAAAACTTGTGTGTGTGTTTGTCGTTTGCAAGCTTGGGTCCTGCGAAAGTATTGTCTGGAAGTGTTGAAGGATGTCAAATCCAAACATGACAGAATTAAAAAAATTCGGCATCCGCATTGTTGCTTAATTTCAGCCTAAGCCTGTTCAGGTTTGCGTGTGTACGTATAGACGGTGCTTTGAAGGGGGTTGGCATTCGAAACATGTCGCGTTTTTCAATAACTGAATTTTCGGATTTCTTTTTGTAAGTGCGTGGCACACAGGGTGGTGCGCTGCTATGCAGGATTTTCAAATGGATACGCGCGACATTGACAGCATAATTGGAAATCACATCGACAAGCGCCATAGGGAATATCTTCAATAACATTCATTTATATTTTTATTTTTTCGATTTTTATATTTTACGTGCCGAAAGTTGTTTTTGCGCCAATTTTTATTTTGCTTCTCACCTGCGCCGAAAAAAAATACACTTAACGTGAAATATATTCGGGGAGGGGGGCGGGGGGGGGCAGGAAACTAAAACAACACGACACAATAGTTCAAAGCTAGGCACACGTTGCACGCTGCACTGAAACTCTGTGTGAACTACATGTGAACTACATGTGAACTACATGTGAACTACATGTCAACTGTGAACGCCGTTTTGTCAACAGCGCTGGATGCAGCAACAATACGTTCCTAACGCACGAGCAGCTATGGCAGGGAGCAATGTTGGGATTAACCACAGGTTGTCGCCCCAGGAGGTAGCCGTGCAGAGGAACGCAAGCATCGTTTCCGAAGGATAGCTCTCCGCAGCTGGGCCGCTCGCGTCTCTCCTGTTTTGTTAAAAAATAAAGGCACTTTTGAAGGCGTAAAACTGGCTACATGCGTTACGCCAGTACTATCCTGTGCGCGCAGGTTATGCATGTAGGTAAATATTAGGCATGTACGAATAAGACTACCCCCCCCCACCACCCAGCAGTTCGACGTATCGTCATCACTCGGGCGCTTCGATAGATTCAAGATTAAACAATTTGGTTTTAATTACCAAATGTGGTGAACGCGGCACCTCGAGTGCCTGCGGTGGATTAGGTGACCGGATCAATTAGGTGGATTGCACGGATGGAATGCAAGTGGTTTCCCAGTAAAAGTGGAACATCTGGACCAGCGCAAGGGGTGAACATTCGGCCAACGTTGGCCAAACGGTTTACTGGGCGATTGTAACGTTCACTATTTGCCACACGTGTTGCGAGCATACGGAATCGCCGTCGATCGAGGATTCTGATCCGCTGCGTCGTTACTACGACCGATAAAAACACCGGTCCTGCAGTGGGTCACCATCGATGATGAAACTCGCATTTGTATTGTTTCACACTTTTTTTCGTTCTCGTCTCTACGGTTTTCGTTCACTCAACTTGGCCCGACTGTGATGCGTACCGTGTCGCTCGGACATCGTTTGCATCACTTGTAAATGACAAATTCCCAAATGCACGATTAGATGCGAACGTTTGTGGGTGTAGGAATCGTTTGTTTACGGTCTATGCATCGCTACACGCCTAGTATTTGTGTATGCACACCCATACTTGTGTGTACAGATACGCTTATGCATGTAAAATACTATGGGCGATTTTCTGATTTTAAAAAAATTACTTGCTTGCATTTGTAACAACAATTATGGATCTTCTTATGGATTTTTGACCACTTACACGATGTCCTAATTTTTATGCGTTTTGGGGGTTTTAACAAGTGATGTCACGTGGCAATTACCTCCTGTCAAGTGACACCACTCTTGGCGTGAAGGTGATGCCACCTGTTTGTGACATCACTTTTTCAGATCAATATAAAGAATATTTATTTATTTTGTCCCAAATTTTACGTCTCAGCCTGGACTGCAAGATTTTTCAGATTAATCTGAAAATCTGGAACATCCCTAATAGTAATACATATACATCATAATTCTAACAGCATGCATTTAATGTCTCAATGTACACGTTTACTGTATAAGATTGTGAATGTACCTGTTACAGGGGTGTCCACCAATCACTGAAGAAAATGGATTACAGTAGACTGCAGTCCTAGCTATGTTTATGAAATCACATAACCCATTCACACTTGGTAATGTGAAGATTTCATCATCTGTGTCTCATGCCCTCCTCTCGACCGCCACATGTCGACCATCGCGTTGACACGCATCATATCGAGATTTAAAAGTCCCAGGTGTTTGCCAACATCACGTGCTTTTCTCGTGTGCTGCTATCGGCGACCACTCTAGAAAGATGGATGACCAACGGATGCAGTTATTTAGGAATTGGTGATTTTGCACAATGACCAAGGCGGAGACATTTTTGTGCGCTCGGCACGCGCCTCTGTGCGTGCTGCCGACACGGATTCGCTCGAGGTTTTCGCAAACGTTAAATGCAAGCACGGCAAGGATGATTTTTGCTGCCAATATTTCAGCCAGGGGGACACGTTAAAGATCCCTTGGCGTAGTTCGCAAGAGTGGGACCACTGTGCGCTGGCGTCAGGGTCCACGTTTGGCGAAAATTACACCGCAAATTATCTCGATTGGATACATGGTGTTCATCACTCTCCCTACTGCCCATCCGAATGCCCCAGGTCAGTCTTCACATGAGACCATCCTGGTCTCTTGGGTTCTCACCTGCATGAACATAGCAAACTTGAAACTTGAACCGCACAGTTCAATTAGATGTATAATTACGATTATTTAATTATGGGTACATTCAAGGACAACACACCCTGTACAGGACAATGTGCTATACATACGAATATAATTATATGGGCCTAAGTAAGCAATGTCAATGTACGCCCCATAAAAACATATACCCATGCATGTGTTGCGTACACATACATGGGTATATGTTTGTACGTGTATTTACAGATGTATATATCTGCAAACATGTTCCTACGTTTATTATTAGTGCACTTACATGTATATATCTGTACATATGAATGCATGTGTCTATGTATGAATGTACACATGCATACATGCATGTATACATACATGCATGCATACACACATGACCTATGGGAAAAAAATGTATGTGTATGGAAATACGTATACGTGTCAATGTACGCGCCATACAGACATATACCCATGCATGTGTTGCGTACACATACATGGGTATATGTTTGTAAATGTATTTACAAATGTATAGATCTGCCAACAAGTTCCTATGTAAATTATTAGTGGACTTATATATTTATATCTGTACATATGAATGCATGTGTGTAGGTATGAATGTACACATGCATGTATACATCCATGCATACACACGTAACCTATGGAAAGCAAATGTACATGTGTATGGAAATATGTATAAATCCGTGTATGTACATATGCAACAAGGCAGTGGGTGACCAGTGCCTCCAGGTTGAGGAAACAACAGCTTCCACTTCAGGTTTGTTCAACCTCCGGTGACGTGAGATTGAGAGGCACGCGTACAGGCCTCGTGTCAATCCACTGCTGTATGAGGACGACCCCCACCCCACGTCGTGCTGCTCCGTTGGGGTCACGTGACCACAATTCACCGTGCCGGTCAGTGCGGGTTAAAGGCGGCCAAGAATGGACACGGGAGCATAGAAGCACAATACGACAATGGATTTTGTCTGTGACGGCCCTGTGCTTTCCCCGCCCGTCACTTGGCGCGTACAGGTGGATTCATTGAGAACTGGAACGTGAAAAAAAAGTCTGATGATGATGATGAAGAAGCTCCTTTGCTAGGGACCAATTATACGGAGCAGTTTATCCCGGGAAGATATGTGCCCCTGTCCGGTTGGAGAAAGCGCCGATGTAACTGCCGCTCCGAATCTTATTCGTGCCTTCATCGTGCTCGTTGATTAATCATGGAGGGACCCCTCTCTGTGGACTCCACAAATCTCCCACCTTCCTAAGTGCAAGTGATCGTCCAACCTTCAAACTTGCACCCATCAATGAGAACGCATCAACCCGGTACTCGGATCCCTCCACTGTGCTTTCAATCTAATTCCGACTCAACCGCAAGATGGAGGATCTTGAAGACGCCTTCAATGTCTTCAAGATCTTCCATGGGCTCTCAACGCTCCTACCTCTCCCCCCCCCTCTAATCGCCTATATTATCTGCACACTGGCAACTAAGATCTCCCATCTTACTACCCCCTGTTCAAGTCCAGCCCAAAATCTTTCCTCGTCCTTCTTGTCTACGATCGTCTCAAGTCTCCGAAATGTTTCAAAGAAGAAAATGAATAAATACTTTCCTGTTTTTGGGCGATTCCCAGCGATGCGGATTTAGACGGTCTCTCAATGCGCTTGGATCGTATTGCCGATGAAGCCAATGCCGTCGCATTCCAGTTACTCAACGGATCCACCGGACGCGCGCGCCATCGCCCGAGACTGGAAAACCCGAGGTGGCACTTGTGGCCTCCTCAACCTGAAGCCACGAAAAACCTCTCCTATGCATTAAGTGCCTGGCATGAGCAATTCACATTTTTCAGATTCCGTATTCAAAGATCGCACGTTGTCCAAAACCAACGGCGCCACGTTCAAGTTGAAACCGGTTCCTTGCGAAGCATCGGGAGGTACCGGTGGGGCGAGTGGGAGGACGTGTCTCACGGTGGGCCCCCCCCCACCCCAAACTCCCCCTTCTCTCTCCTCGCCGTCCGTCTCGATCTCCACCGCGGTTCTAGTTTCTGTACCGTGCCGCAACATCGGACCACAGCCTCTGCATGTCCTCCAGGCCCCTCGTCCAGAGCTCGCGTAGCTTCACCCAGCCGGTGCGCGCCGTTATCAGCAGGTAGTAGGCGTTCTGCGGGTATCGCAGGATCGTGTAGCGGGCCATGACCAGCGACTGGCAGAACCTGCGGGGAAAAGTAGACCATGTTGTTGTTGCCGTTGCTGTCGTGACGGTTAATATCGTTTGTTATTCAAGAGGGTTTTTGCTGCCGACTTGTTGATCAGCTGGGATTTTAGCGTCCCCACCTCCGCTTTCACCTGCACGCCACCAGGAAGTAAACGGCCCTCCTCTCGTCCTCGGTGAGGGCCTGCACGCTCTCGTAGCCGGCCAGGACGTGACCCCCGGCCTCCATCGCCTCTCCGCTCTCCACCATCATGTACATGATGGCCATGGCCAGGTCGTACACGTGGTAGCCGAACATCATCGAGTTGAGGTCCACAACGCCGGAGATGCGGTGCCGCGGCGCTCCCTCCGCCGACTTGGGCCCCTGCTGCTGCTGCTGCTGCTGCTCGCTTCCCGCGGCCACCTCCTGCACCAGGATGTTGTCGTCATTGAAGTCACCGTGGATTATGCCTGCGGCGAGGGGAAAACATCGAATTTGATTTCGTCCGTTGTCTTTTATTGTTGACCGTCCTCCCCTCGTCGCCGTCGTCATCGTTCGTGCCCGTGCCGTTTTTATTCCGGCCGCACGATTGGTGTTGCGCAAGCCGCGTGTGCGAGTCTAAGAACGGCCCCCGCAGAGTCTCAGTGAATCACCGACTTCTTCTCCTGCCTTCAAAGGCACAGAATTACAATAACCCACCAGCGTCGTACAACCCTGCACGGGGGCGAGATATGGAGCGGTGTGTAGTGGTTTGCACACCGCATCACGAGCCCTTGATTCCCGGCCATGGAGAACATCACTGATATCTGAACCAGTCCTGGGATCCTACCTACCTCCTCACCGACCAGCATGGTGAAGGAGGCAAAACAACCCCCATGACCCTACACAGCCTGGGAATGCCTTCGTCCAGATAGTGCATTGACAAAGGGCTGTACATTATTATTATGAGTATATGTGTAACAAAAACTGTTGAACACGATTTAGCATCCATTGAAAAATGATTTGGTAGAAATTACAATTATGATTTATATACAGTAGCGTCTGAATGTAATAACCCTGTCATTTGATTTCACCTGTGATCAGTGTCTGTGCGAGTGTCCCCCATTACATGCATGCCTTGTAATGCATCTGTGTATGCTGGGTAAAAGTAATCACGTGAAGCACATTGCAAAGAAAATGCTTGCCACAAATGAATCACAATACCTTGCTGATCTCGTCAAGCAGCATAAACCATCACGCGAATTCGGGTGATCCTCGCAGCGGCTTTTGGCTAACCATCGAACAAACAAAGACGGTCACCGCATCGCGCGCTTTCAGATGCACTTCTGCGGCCGTCTGAAAAGCTCTTATTTCCGATATTAGGAAGGCACTGGAGCTATGCACTTTTAAACCTAGATTGAACACTAATTTATTTTTGAACTGATTTTTTGTGTTTAGTTTGTTGTCCTTCCCCCGCACCTCCGATTAGCACGGTTGGCTATGTACGGTGCGAAAGAAGTTCAACGTACACATGTACGCGGCACCCGTCGTGGCTTCAAGGCCTCGTCGGTGGCCTGAAGCGCCCCTCGCCCCCTGAGGCATGGAGCTACGTCCCGGGTGAAGCTGCGAGGCGAGCGTACATCTGGTAAACTTGTGCAGGTTGGGTTGGATCTCCTCGCGGAACTTGGCGATGACCTCCCTGACCAGACCCTGGTTGGGGTCGCCGTCCAGAGTGAAGAGGTAGGACTCGAGCAGGTGGGTGTTTGACAGGTTCCAGATGAAATCGTCTCGTTGCAGGGAGTGCAGGAACGGGTGCTCAAACTATGCAGATGTTTAAAAACGAAGGCGGTAAGATGACAAAAAATGCAATACGAGATTAACATCGCATTGGCCAGTTGAGTACACATGTAAGTTAAACGCAGCAAAACGTCAAGCTAGCAAAGGATAGTCTTCGTTTCAGAAAAGATGTTCTCCTTGACTTATTATTTTCTCTTTGTTTTTTTTCGGTAAAGTCACGTAGGTAAAACTATAAAATAAAAGAATAAATGAAAAAACAACTACATTTTTTTTCATTCTATCATTTTATATTTTTACCTACGTGACTTTACCGAAAAAACCAAAGAGTATGAATCCTTGCAGTCATGAAAGCTAAAAATCTAGACTTATTATGCAGCTGAGGGTGAGGCTGCCCAAGTCCTGCGTGCGGCTGGCAAATGTTTGATTGGTATTTGTGAATAACAGGACACTTGAATGGATCTGAGAAGTAGTTTTGTGAGATCACCTTCTGCGGGCCATTCTCTAACCAGAGGTGATGCACAGAATGAGATGTTTTTTTCCATCTCATGACATGGCACCAATTAGCACAACTCATACAGCCCTTATCAAGGCACTGCCGTATTCAGTGTTGGTCATGTAGGGTGTTTGACCATACTTCGCCAAACTGGTCAGTGTAGGTTGGTGAAGGATAGAGGACAAGGGGGGGGGGGCAGGACTGGTTCAGATATCACTTGCCACGAATGTTAGCCGTGGCCGGAAATAAAACTCAGGTGGCCGGGTTCGTAGCGCAGTGTGCTCACAACTGCGCCACCGCTCCACCCCGACGCTTGGAATAAAATTTGGGGGGGGGGAAAACAAAAATACGTTGCTTGAAAACCAGCCATTCGATCACTTGGAAGGACTCTCACGTTGCTAATTATGAACAGCTGCGTACGTTCCGAGCGAGTGGGCTCGTTACGTCACATTACACTTGCATACCGAGAGAAAAGGCTCGCCGAGACTCAAGACTTTTTTTTTAAGATTGTCGCAGTAAGGGGTTGGGGAAACTATCACTCCGCATTTCCCAATGAAGTAATTTGCGAGTTATTTCTTTTTTGCCTTTTTACTTTGGCGAATATTCTCATATTCTTGTTTCTTTCGGTAAAGTCACGTAGAAGGGAAACAATAAAATAATAAAAATATAAAACAATACATTTTTCACGACATTTCGACTGCAACACAAGCAATCATCATCAGGTGTGAAAACCACAACAATATTTTTTTTTTCAAATTTCCTTGTTGTGGTTTTCACACCTCATGACGATTGCTTGTGTTGCAGTCGAAACGTCGTGAGAATTTCATTGTTTTATATTTTTTTATTATTTTATTGTTTCCCTTCTACGTGGTGGTGACTTTACCGAAAGCAACAAGAATATGAATCCCTGCAGTCTCATGTCACGTGTCAAGAGGCGCTCGTGCGCTCGTACCTGCTGCAGGGCTTGGTGGATGCTCGCTGCCAGCTTGCCCACCTGGTAGTACAGGCTGCCATCCGCCAGCACCCTGGACAGCGGCACGCCGGGCAGGTACGTGAGCAGCCGCACGTTGAACTCCTTCTCTCCTTCGCCGCAGTCTGAGAATTCACAGCAGGAGTCGCCACCGAGGTCAAGAGGTCACCACGGTTAGTGAAATCTCACCGTCGCTTCCTTTTGCTGGAACATAAAAAGCTGTTCGGAAGCTGATATCGGAACCTCCAAGGTCTGGCCAAAGTGTCAACTCACCACTTTGCACCCTGTGTTCATTACCCACGTGCTATACTACACAGGGTCTCTGATGAATTGCTCAACTGATAGCCAAGGCTACTATTCTTTTGTTTAGGAAATTAAGCGACAATTTGCTGCTCAGTATTAAATGGTTAATAACAATAATGAATGTGCTAAGTCCGATATATAACGCACATAAAATTCGTGTAGTCTTTAAAACGCCAATCTCTCAAGCAACTTGAATCGAGTATTTGTTCCCCCCCCCCCAAAAATAGTAAATTGGAGTGATTTTTTCCTCATGACTTTCTTTCACGGTACTATTAACGCAGAAATTAATAACACGAACGCATTCCGAAATTCGCATTCCTATATGGCCTTGTTGTCTAAACCGCTGTAGCTAAATAAAGCATTTGAGAGGAATAATACCTCACCACACCCATGCGTAAGGCATCCGCCAAAGTTGCAACGTGGCACGCAACCCTCACGCCTTAGCGCACGCTGGCTGGAACCGGGGGCAATTCGCCCAGGTTCGGGCCAGAATGGATACGTCAGCACACGAGTCTAGCTGAATTCCCTGGGTTCAGCTTGAGCAAATTACTTAGGAGCAGGGTGAATGGGGGCCCCATCTGCATCAGGAGGCGACTTTTATCGCTCGTTCCATCACGTAAATATAAGGGTCAGCGGCATTCCGTGATCTTCGCATTCCAAACACGGCGTTGGGCGGCGATGTCAGCTCACGCGATGAACCCCGAGCCTGGGTTTAAAGGAGCGCTGCTAGCCCAGGCATTATAATCAAAATATGTACTTTTACTGGAGGAATCCGATGGGCTATGAAGCACTTTGCTTTACAAATGTTTAGCAGCCCAGTGTTGTCCCAACTACAGCCCGTGGGCCAAGCCCGAACCACCAAAATTAATTCATTCTGGTCTACAGGACAACTATCCCGCCACGCCTTACAAGAACTAATTAAGTACATGTCTCAGTCAGCAATACTCACTTGAAATTACACACGACAACCGTCGCCCCCGCGCCCTCCCCCCAACTGAAAAGTTTGACAAGACCCTCCCGATACTCAGTGAGGCTCTGCTGTGAAAACAAGTGTAACGATGATGATTACAATAATAATATTAATAGAAGTGATGCGATGCAGGAGGCCGGAGTGGGTGTGGGGGAGAGATAAGCTCTGTATCGACATGTTTGCATTTCTCTAAATCTCTCCTCTTGCGGATAGATCTTTCTCCTATCTCTTCCATATAAATATCATATTTCTGATTAAATCTCTCTCTGAATGAGTTAAATGATGACATCACCCTGCTGCTCTATTTAAGACCGGGAGCAAGTGAGGGCTTCACCATTCTGGCGAATTGCCCGATGATGCTGGATGTAATTACCAGCGAAACGTCGTACTCAAATATTGTAAATGTTGTGGATTCACTCTTCATCACACCGGTGGGCTAAAGTAGTGAACTATTTTGTCTGTTGTCAACGTGACACATTTTTTACTGTTTGGCTGTGTCGGGTGGTGGAGGGTTATGACACATTTATAAATAACGCGATCTCACCCAAAAACCTTTATCATGAATAAATCTCTCTCATATCTCTACAATATATCGCTTGTGACATCTCTCTCCCGTCTATGCTTGTTCATGTAATACATGGTTTTGGTTTGACGTGTTCCCCTTGTCAGCCAATCCGGAACTCGATGCAAAGAGTTTGACGTTTGCTTCTCAGGGTCTCGTGGGAAGATAAGCAGAAACAAAAATTACGATTTAGGTTTCGTAAGTATGTTGAAATTCTTTCGCACCATACGTACGTAGCCAACCGTGCTCATCGGAAGTGTGGGGAGGTGGAACACACTGTGCGGTTGGCGAATGGCGGCGTCGGTGAACTGTACAAACATTATATCTACCAACCTGCAGGTCAGTAGATGAGAAAACAGCAAGTGTGCTTCTGATCTCTCACCACAGATGTTATCGTCTCGTCCGTGTGGCTTTGCTGTGAGCAGTCATTCCAGTTTCATCCCACACACCAAACATTGTTTTTTTTTATATATATATGAAGAATTTACAAAATATCACAATGTGGACCTTGGGCCAGTACCAACAAGCAGTGCGTTACATCCACCAACCTCACAAAAACTAAAAAGTACGATCCTTTTACATCACTTATCGTCAGTGGAGTGAGACCCAGTATTATACCACCGCCTCATGCTCGGATATTGATCGTTGTCTTTGCAAGTATAAACCAATGCTGTGTTCGTATGATTACTATCAGCCTATGACTAAATCACCTGGAATGTGCCCTATCATAAGATCTGAAAGCTAAGCAGGTTGAGCCTGGATTAGGGCTTCTATGGGTTACAATCGTGCATTAAACAGGCATCACAGGCTGCTGCGTGGTGCTATGTTGTGGGGGCCAGAGTTCAGTTGCAGCAAAATCAATTGTACTGCACTGTACATCTATTAAACTTGATTTGTCACTTTCGTGACTGCAGGAATGACTCTTTGGTTTTTTCGGTAAAGTCACGTAGAAATAAGAAATAATAATAAAATTACATAATAGCATACGACGTTTCGATTGCAACGCAAGCAATCATCATCAGGCATAGAAGAGCAAAATTTAAGAGAGAGGAAACACAGAACCGCAGATATATATACAGACACCTAAGTAGAAGGGAGTTCACACAGAGACACAAAGAGAGACACAACGTACGGAGCACAGAGAGATAGGGTCTCTGTGCCGAGGCCTTAGCATGTAGGGGGAGACAAAGGGAGATGGAGACGCACATCAAGTAGAACAAGATTTAGTATTACGTACATCTCTTCTCCAATGTCTCTGCTCCCGGGACCCACGCGGGCGCAGCTCACCGATGTTCTCGAGCGACATGATCTTCCCGCTGACGTTGTCCACCACCTCCTGCATGGGGAAGCCCCTCTCCCACAGGAAACTCATCATGGCCATCTGCACCTCGAGCATCTGCGGCCGCTGGCTGTCCCGCGTGTTGGTGACCTTGAGCACGAACTGGCGACCGTCGCGCGCCAGCACACGGTAGTTCTGGTCGACGTAGCTCGCCAGCGGGCTCACCCCCGCCACGCTCACCCCGTAGAGGCGCTCCACCAGCTCCGCCGCGCGGGACTCGCTGAGGCACGGCTTCTCGTGCTCGCGGCCATCGTCCTGCGGCGCGGCTTGCATCGTCTTCAACGGACAAAACGAGGGCAATCAAAAAGCTTTTGGGTTTTGCAAGTGCACGTTGGCGTCCGCTCCATTCGTGCAGCGCAAGGCGCCTCCGATGAGCACGGTTGGCTACGTACGGTGCGAAACAAGCTCAGCGTACACACGAGGCTACACCCTGGAGGCGCTACGCTTCACGGACAGCCCACAGTAGTTGTCGCATTTACAGAATTGTGCCGACACACGTGGCATACTACTGATTTAAATTACATCTCCGAGATCTTTAGCATCCGACTGTGAAGCAGACAGTCCGCAATATTTACAGTTCATACACCCACAGCGTTAACCGGGGTGGTCGTGGGGCTCGTACCACAAACATCTGCAACGCGCTACCGCTCGGCCATGAAGTCAATCGATCGATCAGCGATCAATAAACAAGTCTCTTTGCTCGCATCACATTTAATAGCAACACATTTCACCGAACAGAAAAGCACCACTTAAACATGTCAGATATAAGATTCGTAATAACAGAGAATTCTCCTTGTGTATTTCAGTGGAAATACAGCCAGTGCCTGATAAAGTAGCATTACTGTAACTGGAATTTTAACAAGAACCGTGGGTTTATGCAGCATTGGGGAGCTGCAGCTATGGCCCACCGAGTAAACACCTTGTCCCGTAAGCACGAAATCACGTGTTCAAATTCCACTGGATGTGTAATTGTGTGAATAATAATCAGGGCTTAATCTGTCACTGAATATTTTCTGGGTCGCTGGTGCGGAGTGGAGTGGGCAGCACAGCCCCGGTAGCCACGGCGATAGCGAAAGGTACACACGGGACGTGGTGTGCCGGGTGTCAGCATATTTTTCAGAGTCGCTGACACAGGGCAGCCCTGGCCGAAATTATCTCCATACACATGTAAAAGGCAAAGTTGTGATTATGTGTGTCTGTTCAAAATGTTTAGCGTACTTCCCGACATGCAACAAACTTGAAATTTGCCATGTGGGTACTTTCCAGACTGTACACCACGCAAAAATTATTAAAATACACTTTTGTGTTTTTTCGGGGGGGAGGAGGGGAGGGGAGCTCAATAATGCATTTTTTTCTGCACGGCAAGTGAGCTGTGACGTCAAATCTGTCACGTGACCCACGCATGTGGAAGCGTAACGCATTAGTGTAGTGGTTAGCGCACTGCGCTACGAACCCGGCAACCTGAGTTCAATTCCCGCTCACGGCCACCACCGGTGACGATTATTTCAACCGCTCCTGGGCCTCCCTTAGATCGACTCAGCCTCAAACGAGTAATTGCTGTGGTGTGTGAACATCGCCACTGGGGACACAAAGGCGGCCGGGCGTGGTGCTGTCACCCACCCCTTCGTCTGTATATATAAAAGGGAAATTTGTGAATATGTGTGTCTGTTCGAAATGTTTAGCATACTTTCCGACATGCAACAAACTTGAAATTTGCCATGTGGGTAGCTTCCAGACTGTAAACAATGCAAAAAGTATAAAATATACTCTTTAGTTCTATTGGGTAAAGTCACGTGGGTGAAAATAAAATAACAAAAAATCACGACGTTTCGGCCACAACACAAGCGGCCTTCATCAGGTGAAGGGACGAGACTGTCTGGAGGACAGCGCTGGAGTGAGAGAAGCCACGCTTAGATCACGACCTTTAAGCTGTGTCAGAAGAAGAACACAAAGCGCCTTGACAAAGGAATTAGCATATAATTTAGCATTGAAATGACTCATTGAAATAGCTAAGTTAAAGTATACACATCCGCAGAGGTACCCCTTAACAAAGGAATTAGCATAGAATTTAGCATTGAAATAGCTGAGTGATTAGCTTGTAACTGGTCACAGAAATAGCTATGTTAAAGTCAGAGCATATTTCACGTAAACAAAACGTGCCAATTAGTTACTGCTTCAGCACACTGGTGTATTGGATAGTAAACCCAGAACATTTACCATTAGAGTATGACGTTTCACTGATTATTACAACCAGCTTCATCAGGCGAATTGCCATAATTGTGAAGAAGTATTCCTGTTTCCGTCTTTGAAGTCAACTCAGCCTTAAATGAGTACTTGGTGCAGGGTGTGAACATCGCCACTTGGGAGACAAATGCGGCCGGGCGTGGTGTTTGGCCACCCACCCCATCGTGTGCTGGGCCGGCCTTCATAGGTGTTGGCTCCCAGCCATTGCCCCGAGTATGTTAAGGCTATACGGGGGTCTTTGTCTTTGTGTGTGTGTATGAGATGCATGCGAGTGTGTGTGTATATGAGATGCGTGTGTGTATGAGATGTGTGTGTATGAGATGCGTGTGTGTATGAGATGTGTGTGTGTGTATGAGATGTGTGTGTGTATGAGATGTGTGTGTGTGTATGAGATGCATGTGTGTGTGTGTATGAGATGCATGTGTGTGTATGAGATGCGTGTGTGTGTGTATGAGATGTGTGTGTGTATGAGATGCACTGCTGTATAATAATGTACTACTCACTACTGAGTACACAGACAGTCCCCACTGTGTTCACAGCTACCACCCCAACGCACGCATAAACTCAACTCAGTCATTAAAAATGTTAAGTTATGTTTAGCAAACAATAGTCATTGCAACGTTATACTTGAATCTAATAACAAGTTTAAGGCACTGCTGTATAATAATGTACTTGTCACTACTAACCACAGTCCCCACTGTGTTCACAGCTACCACCCCAACGCACACATAAACTCAACACACACACAGTGCGCTAACCACTGCACCACCGCTCCCCACACACACACACAGTGCGCTAACCACTGCACCACCGCTCCCCACACACACACAGTGCGCTAACCACTGCACCACCGCTCCCCACGTCCACCACAACCTGGCACCCGATGATGTATCGATCGGCTCGGCTTACCGTGGCTGCTGCGCCAAGTCACCTGCAGAGAAAATCGATTTAAATTTCGATTAACTATACTCGCGCCGATTCCTAATGGGATAACATTAGGAATCGATTATAATAGAGTTACGGATGTATGAGTCGATTTCAATTGGGATAACATGGGAACCGATTTATTTGTGGCTTAGGCTAATAAAATCGATTTGCATTGGGATAACATGGGAATCAACAGTGGTCTAAAATGAACCTTCATTAATCGATTCCTACTGTGTAGACGTGGGAATCGACCACGTTAGACGATCACGTGTGTGGGCGTGGTCTCTCAACGTCAATCAACCAGGTAGGGCGTTGACTGGTGGAGAGTTTGGGATCTGATTGATTGATTGATTGCTTCTGTGGACAGGTGTCTTTTATACAGGTAACGAGCTGAGATTAGGAGCACACTCTTAAAGGGAGTGCTCCTAATCTCAGCTCGTTACCTGTATAAAAGACACCTGGGAGCCAGAAATCTTTCTGATTGAGAGGGGGTCAAATACTTATTTCCCTCATTAAAATGCAAATCAATTTATAGCATTTTTGACATGCATTTTTCTGGATTTTGTTGTTGTTATTCTATCTCTCACTGTTCAAATAAACCTACCATTAAAATTATATTTCTTAAAATTATATTTCTTTGTCAGTGGGCAAACGTACAAAATCAGCAGGGGATCAAATACTTTTTTTCCCTCACTGTAAACCCCAATGATCCGATCGAAATGAGGGATTTTGATCGGATCATTGGGGGGCCACGTGTCACCACCACCCCCCCCCCCAAACAGTCATGAGCAGCACCTCCCCACACGCCCTGCCACCGAGAAAAATGTTTCACGTACGAGAGTGAAACTGATATTTTCATTCTCAGCTGGAATTTAGCCAAATGCAATACGCTTGAGAAACCTGGTTTAAAATCACAAGCAAGTTGCCTGAATTTCAAACCCATGGTCTCAGCGGTACAGCTCGGTGCTCTTGGCAGGCTGAGCCAACCGGTCACTTCATCGCAAGCAACCGGAAGCATCAAGGTTGTCAATGCCGTGTGCGTCGTCCTAATGGGGAGCGGCAGTGTGGTGGCTTGCAACGCTGTGTTGCGAACCCAGTGAACAGAGTTCAATTCCTCCCCACTCACGACCAATAAATGGTGCCGAATATTTAAACCGCTTTCCATGGGTCGGCATGGCTTTAAATGAGTACCTGGTGCAGTGTGATCGTGGTGGTGGTTGTGATGGTGGTGATGATCATGGTTGTGATGATGGTGGTGGTGATGGTGTCTCTATGGGTCTCTGTGAGTCCCTGAGCCTCTATGGGTGTCTACGAGTCTCAGTCACTCTGGGTCTATATGGGTCTCTATGAGTCTCTACGGGTCTCTACGGGTCTCTGTGTGTCCCTGTGGGTCTCTGTGAGTCTCTGTGTGTCTGTTGGTCTCTGTGTGTCTCTGTGGGTGTCTCTGGGTCTCTGTGTGTCTCTGTCGGTCTCTCTGAGTCTCTGTGGGTCTCTGTGTGTCTCTGTCAGTCTCTATGTGTCCCTGTGGGTCTCTGTGGGTCTCTGGTGGCCGGGCCTGCTGTTGGCCACCCACTGCTCGTGTGCTGTGCCAGCCTTCATAGACGCTGTTACTCGCCAACAGCAATTGCCTCAACAGTCTGTTATTTCAAGTTTCATTTCAAGTTTTCATGTATTAGGTATAGCCCTGTGACATGGGAATCAATAGTGGTCACCCACCTAAGTTCATTATAAATGTGGGAGCATTATACGCATTAGTTCGCTATCACGACATACAGTACCCTGGTGTCTACAAACTAAGTTGCCTCTGTGGTAGTAGTTACATTGGAGAAACCAAACGCCATGTCTCGGACCGCATTCGTGAACACAAAGCAGACCTTAAACACGGTAGGACCAACACCTCGGCCATGGCAGATCACTGTTATAATTCAGTAGGCTCACATGACATTGACTTCTCCAAGACAGAGGTTCTTTGCAATCCATCTGGCTACCATGAGAGATTTGTTCATGAGGCTATCCACATATACAAACACAGAGACAATTTCAACCGAGAAGATGGACTCTGGCTTAGCAATCATTGGAAGGATTTGATAAACCATTTCAGGTCTTAATTGATTGTTCATGCTTACGGTGGCTTTCAGACAGCATAAATTAATTTTTCGTCTCCCCCCTCCTCTTTTCAGAACATAGATGGACTCTTGATTTAAAGCTTTCGTGACTGCAGTAATTCATATTCTTAGCTCTTTCGGTAAAGTCACGTTGAAGGGAAACAATAAAACAATAAAATATATATAAAAAAGAATATATATTTTATTATTTTATTGTTTCCCTTCAACGTGACTTTACCGAAAGAGCTAAGAATATGAATTACTGCAGTAACGAAAGCTTTAAATCAAAACATCAACAGGCTGATGTGCCACATCTCCTCCTTCAAGAAGTCTCACAGCCCTGCGATGTTGTGTCCACACAACCCAAACTACGGAGTGCCTGGTGGTAAACCGCTGTGCTGTAGCCTGCGCCCCTCCAGTGGAGGAGGAACAGTAAAACCTCGCTGATGCTCTCCTGAAGCACTCCTGTGCGCAACAATCATTGAGACTAGTTGCACGTGCATCGATTGTAAAACCCCGTTCCGTTTCAGGAAGTGGGGACAGTTGGTGCCGTGTGCTCGTTTCACGTCGGGGTGCCACTAAAGGCGCAGGTCCCACCCCTGAGTGATCGGTTACGCGACGCTCTTTTGCACGAATAATCAATCTCTTGCAATTTTATTTAATTATTTAAATCTTCCGTGACTGCAGCGATTCATATTCTTTGTTCTTTCGGTAAAGTCACCACGTAGAAGGGAAACAATAAAATAAATAAAAAATATAAAACAATAAAATTCTTACGACGTTTCGACCGCAACACAAGCAATCACCGTCAGGTGTGAAAACCACAGCAAGAACATTTAACTCGTAATCTCGTAGTCACGTACATGTTAATATAGCCTGATGATGTCACTTCCCTCTTAATGTCGCCTGATGATGTCACTTCCCTCTTAATGTCGCCTGATGATGTCACTTCCCTCTTAATGTCGCCTGATGATGTCACTTCCCTCTTAATGTCGCCTGATGATGTCCCTTCCCTCATAATGTCGCCTGAAGATGTCACTTCCCTCTTAATATCGCCTGATGATGTCACTTCCCTTTTAATGTCGCCTGATGATGTCACTTCCCTCTTAATGTCGCCTGATGATGTCACTTCCCTCTTAATGTCGCCTGAAGATGTCACTTCCCTCTTAATGTTGCCTGATGATGTCACTTTCCTCTTAATGTCGCCTGATGATGTCACTTACCTGTTAATATCGCCTGATGATGTCACTTCCCTCTTAATGTCGCCTGATGATGTCACTTCCCTTTTAATGTCGTGTGTTGATGTCACTTTACTCTTAATGTCGCCTGACGATGTCACTTCCTTCTTAATGTCACCTGATGATGTCACTTCCTGCTTAATGTCGCCATGAGCAGCAGCATCAGTGAGTGTGGCACTGAAGAGAGAACCCCGTGGGTGAGGCTGATGGAGCGCCGCGTGATGATGCTGCTGCTGCTGGCGGTGGCGGCGGTGGCGCTGATCACAGAGCAACAGTCTCAGGTAACGGGAGTCCCCCCCCCTCTCATTCACCCCTCTGGGGCCCCTCTCATTCACCCCCCTGGGGTCCCGTCTCATTCACCCCCTGGCATCCCCTCTCATTCACCCCCCAGGGTCCCCTCTCATTCACCCCCCTGGGGTCCCCTATCATTCACCCCCCTGGGGTCCCCACCCCCTCTCATTCACCCCTCTGGGGTCCCCTCTCATTCACCCCCCTGGGGTCCCCCTCTCATTCACCCCCTGGGGTCCCTCTCATTCACCCCTCTGGGGTCCCCTCTCATTGACGCCCCTGGGGTTCCCTCTCATTCACCCCCTGGGGTCCCCTCTCATTCACCCCCCTGGGGTCCCCACCCCCTTTCATTCACCCCCTGGGGTCCCCTCTCATTCACCCCCCTGGGGTCCCCTCTCATTCACCCCCTGGGTTCCCCCTCTCATTCACCCCCTGGGGCCCCCCTCTCATTCACCCCCCTGTGCCCCCCTCTCTCTCGGTGGTGGTGGTGTTTGGGGAGTTTGTCTCCCGCTCGCGACTCAACCCACACCCAGTGACGGCCGTTATCTGAACCGGTCCTGGGCCTCCCCCAGTTCGACTCAGCCGCAAATAAGTAGCCGGTGTAGCGGTGTAGTAGAGCGGTGAACATCGCTAGCACTGGGGGAGACAAAGGCGGCCGGGCCTGGTGCTGGCCACCCGCCCCCTCGTGTGCCACAGTGCCGGTAGCCTTCATAGGTGCTGCTACTCGCTAACAGCACTTAACAGCACTTGCCCCTGTCGCACCCCAAGGTGTACAGGGAATGGCTCTGACTCCCGGCCACGTAGTTTTACCCGGGCCCGCTCACCATCATGAAGGTCCTTAATGATCGTGAGCAGAGGGTCAGGGACTCCAAAAGTACGAAGAACAACCCAGAGCCCAGGCCTACTGATGGTATCATAGGTCTTGACCAGGTCAATAAAGCAGAAATGTAGGTCTTGTTGGAATTCCCTACATCTCTGCTGTAGCAGACGGACAGAAAATATGGCATCTGTGCAGGACCGCCCTTTCCTGAAACCGCGTTGGGGCTCCGCAAGCCTCTCCTCAGCGTGCCTGGCAAGGCGATGCTGAATAATCCTTGCCAGGACCTTTCCCGGCACACTGAGGAGTGAGATGCCCCTGTAGTTGTTACAGTCTGTGCGGTCCCCCTTCTTAAAGAGGGGGGCCACCAGGGCAACCTTCCAATCCTGCGGAACCCGTCCAGTGGTCCAGACTGTTGTTATGATGTATATAGGGCAGTCTGTGCACAAACGCCACCCTCCCTCAGCATTTCGCTTTGGAGATCATCTCTGCCCGGTGCCTTTCCTGGTCTCAGACTCTGGATCGCCTTCAGTACTTCCTCAACAGATGGCACCTCAGCCAGTCACTCACAGGGGGTGACTTCTTCCTCCAATATTTGAGGCAACGCAGCCTCGGTAGGGTCATCACCACTTTGTCCCATGTTGTTTTCCTGGGTGAGGGATTTCCCCTCCCCCAGGACCTCACAGAAATGCTCAACAAATCTGAAAACCTGTTGCTGGGGGTCGGAGATTGGATCATCGTTCTTTCCCCTAAAATGGTAATAGGTGTGGGGCTGCAGGTTACTTTTCTGATGTAATTAAAGAGCGATTTGTGATCGCGGGCCGCTGAGGCAGACTCCATCTCCTCAGCAACCCGCGACCACCCCCCCTATCCTTGCAGCGCCTCACGGCTCTCCGAACCTCCGAGCGAAGGCTGCGGTAAGCCTCCTCATTATCCGACATGGGATGCTGTAGCCGATGAGAGGGGGCCTGTCGCTTTTTCTCAGCCAGCTTGAACACCTCCTCTGTCAGCCAGGGTCTCTGGGGAGGTCTGGACTGTGTACCCAAAGCAGCCATTGCAGCTGCATGAGCCACAGTCCTAAACCTCGTCCATTTCCCCTCGACATCAGGAGGAGTCAGGGACGATGCCAACCCCAGCCGCAAGCGATGATGAAATTCTCGCTTGCAACTTTCATCAGCTAGCTGAGACCAGGCCACTGTGGGTTTTAATGGGTTCCTGGGTGTACACCCACCGCCGGAGTGGAAGAATGGCAGGTGCATCTTACAGATGACAAGTCGATGGTCAGTGGGCAGATCAGCTCCATGGTAGGTCCTGGTGTCAAGGACATGGGCCCGCATCCGCTGTTCCGTCACTGTAGTCCAGCAGATGTTCTTGCTTAGACCTGGCATGCATCCATGATGTAGTGTGGATGCGCCGATGATGGAAACACATTTGGTAATTACAAGCCCATGGGCTACACAAAAATCTAGCAGCCTCCTGCCGTTGTTATTGAGCTGATCTGGTCCATGCCTTCTAATTACTCCAGACCAGGTGCCCGCATCATGAACCAAGATGACTATCCCGAGGGGTCACTTTAGCTAGCGCCTGTGACAGGAGGTCATAGAAGGCAGCTGACTCATCGGCCTTGCCTGCATCCCTCCATGGATGTTCGTTTTCAGTGGGGGCATAAGTAACCACTACCACCATTCTTCGCCTCTGGTTGATGGGAAGGCGAGCCCAGAGTAGCCTGGGGCTTACAGCTTCCCACACCTCACCGCCACGCTCCCACGCCTCATTCATTCTTTTATTCAGAAGAAGAGCCACACCCTGTTGTTTGGCAGTCTGCTGCCCCGAGGAGAGGACTGTCCACCTCTCATGGTGGCAGGAGCCAGAGCCGGTCCATCGGACCTCCTGAATACCACAGAGATCCAGGCGCTACCGGTCCAGCTCCCGACAGAGGAGTGGCAGCCTCTCCTCCGCAGTGAGCGTTCGAACATTCCACGTGGCCACACAGTGGTTTTTTGTTGTTTCTTGAGGAGCCCCGAGGGTAAGGATTCAGTCTCCTGGCTCTGCCAAATGGAGTTTTCGGCAGGAGACGTCATAGATGCTTATCCCCCCGAGGCCTCCTGTACAAGCTTATTAATTAGATATTTTAAACGTGGTTTAGTGGTAATTAATTGAAGGTGGAGGGGTTACCAGCCCCTCGCACCCATCCAGAGCCCCCAATTAGCTGCTGTGGTGGTTACATGGGACAAAAAGCCAATCGAAATTCGCCCTCCCCCCACGGCACTGCCCACGACAGCGTTGCCCGTCCGGCACACACGTACACACACACTTACACGCATACACACACGTACACACAGAGACACACACACACGTATACACACACTTACACACATACACACACACGTACACACACGCGTCACTATCTGCCAAATTCCGTGTCGTTAAGAATCCCTCCACCAGCCGACAAAAGGAATGAAGTGGCCTCGCTCACGATGACGTTTGGTGTCGTCTTCACCGCACCCCGCACAGGGAGAGCGCGGGGAGAGACGCGTGGAGGTGGTGGAGGTGGTGGAGGTGGTGCAGCTGGAGGAGAGAGACGAGAAGGAGGTGGAGAAGGAGGTGGAGGAGGAGGTTGAGAAGGAGGTGGAGGAGGAGGTAGAGGAGGTGGAGGAGGAGGAGGAGGAGAGAGACGAGGAGGAGGTGGAGAAGGAGGTGGAGGAGGAGGTGGAGGATGAGAGAGACGAGGAGGAGGTGGAGAAGGAGGTGGAGGAGGAGGTGGAGGAGGAGAGAGACGAGGAGGAGGTGAAGGAGGTGGAGGAGGTGGAGGTGGTGGAGCTGGAGGAGAGAAATGAGGAGGAGGAGGTGGAGAAGGAGGTGGAGAAGGAGGTGGAGGAAGAGAGAGACGAGGAGGAGGTGAAGGAGGTGGAGAAGGAGGTGGAGGTGGTGGAGGTGGAGAAGGAGGTGGAGAAGGAGGTGGAGGAGGTGGTGGTGAGGTTCCAGCAGCCAGGCCAAGGTGCGAGTCGTCGTCGCTGGAGACGGACCTGGCTCATCCCCAAGGTGTCCGTGCCCGAGAATGACCGCGGGCCCTTCCCCAAGCTGCTGGTGCAGGTGCGCTGCGTGACGGATGTGGCGCGTTCTCATTCTTATTGTCGTATAACCTCATCCTAGCCCTAACCTACCCCTAACATAACCCTCAACTAGCCCTAACCTAACCATTAACTAACTCTAAACTAGCCCTCAACTAACCCTAAACTAACCCTAACATGACCCTCAACTAACCCTAACCTAACCATTAACTAACTCTAAACTAGCCCTCAACTAACCCTAAACTAACCCTAACATAACCCTCAACTAACCCTAACCTGACCATTAACTAACTTTAACCTAACCCAACCCTAAACTAACCCTCAACTAACCCTAACCTAACCATGAACTAACTCTAAACTTGCCGTAACCTAACCCTAAACTAACCCTTAACTAGCCCTTAACTAGCCCTAAACTAACCCTAGCCTAGGGTTAGGACGCGTGGAGAAGGTGGAGGTGGTGGAGCTGGACCAGAGAGACGAGGAGGAGGAGGTAGAGGAGGAGGAGGGGGAGGAGGAGGAATCCGTAGAGCCGGGAAGCTCTTTTCTGCCACGCTCAGTAGGGGGCACGGTGGGGGGTGACAGAAACGCTTCTGGCGGTGGCGCAGAGTCCAGGGTAAGGTCAACGAATCGACGAGACGCGGACAGCCGAGACATCCGCACGCCGCCGTGGGAGGTCTGTGGGGCATTGTCGAGAGTCGAGGGTGAGGAGAGCGTGAGAGCGCTGGAAGAAGTCCAGCGTAGGAGCGGCCGTCACAGCATCATCGCCGCCCCCACGTTCGTCATGGCACCCCAACAGGTGAAGTCCGACACCGCCGGGGTGGACATCCGCTACGCCTTGCTGGGGGACGGCGCCGACCAGCATCCCGTGGGGTTGTTCGTCATGGACACCGTGACGGGGAGAGTCTCAGTCACCAGGAGCCTGGACCGGGAGGTGATCGCTCAGTATCGGGTACGGACCACTCACGCTACACTACACTATGCACTACTACACCATATACTATACACTACACTACTACACCATACACTACACTACTACACTACACTACTACACTACACTATACACTACACTATACACTACACCATACACTACACTATACACTACACTACTATACATTACACTATACACTACACTACTATGCTACACTATACACTACACCATACACTACACTACTACACTACACTATACACTACACTATACACTACACCATACACTACACTATACACTACACTATACACTACTACACTATACACTACTACACTATACACTACACTATACCCTACACTATACACTACACTATACACTACACTATACTACACTACACTACACACTACACTATACACTACACTATACACTACACTATACACTACACTATACACTACACTACTACACTATACACTACTCTATACACTACACTACTACACTATACACTAATACACTATACACTACTACACTATGCACTACACTATACACTACACTATACACTACTACACTATACACTACTACACTATACACTACACTATACACTACTACACTATACACTACTACACTATACACTACACTATACACTACTACACTATACACCACTACACTATACACTACTACACTATACACTACTACACTATACACTACTACACTATATACACGACTACACTATACACTACTACACTATACACTACTATACTATACACTACTACACTATACTACACTATACACTACTACACTATACACTACTACACTATACACTACTACACTATACACTACTACACTATACACTACTACACTATACACTACTACACTATACACTACTACACTATACACTACTACACTATACACTACTACACTATATACACTACACTATATACACTACACTATACACTACACTACTATACACTACTACACTATACACTACTACACTATACACTACTATACTATACACTACTACACTACACTATACTACACTATACACTACTACACTATACACTACACTATACACTACTACACTATACACTACTACACTATACACTACTACACTATACACTACTACACTATACACTACTACACTATACACTACTACACTATACACTACTACACTATACACTACTACACTATACACTACTACACTATACACTACTACACTATACACTACTACACCACAGTGTTGTGACTGCAGCTCAAGTGCTACGCTGTGGACACGAGTGGGCGTCATCTGGAGAAGCCTGTGGACCTCGTCGTTGATGTCATTGACGTCAACGACAACCGTCCCACGTTCGCCAAGAAAGTCTTTCACAGCAGCGTCGTCGAAGGATCCCCGCGAGGTGCGCTGACGATGATGACGATGATGACGATGATGACGATGATGTTGATGATGATGATGATGACGATGATGACGATGATGACGACGATCATGACGATGACGATGATGACGATGATGATGATGATGACGATGATGGTGATGACGATGATGACGATGATGACGACGATCATGACGATGACGATGATGACGATGATGATGACGACGATGATGATGATGATGACGATGATGACGATGACGATGATAACGATGATGATGACGACGATGATGATGACGATGGCGACGATGATGATGATGATGACGATGACGATGATGACGATGATAACGATGACGACGATGATGATGACGATGATGACGATGGCGATGATGATGATGATGATGACGATGATGATGACGACGACGATGGCGAGGATGATGACGATGATGTCGCCATGGCAACCACTCACTCACACACTCACTCATGCACTCACTCACACATACACTCACTAACTCATACACTCACTCATACACTCACTCATACACTCACTAACTCATACACTCACTCACACACTCACTCACTCATACACTCACTCACACACTCACTCACTCATACACTCACTTACTCATACACTCACTCATACACTCACTCATACACTCACTCACTCATACACTCACTCACACACTCACTCACACACTTACTCATACACTCACTCATACACTCACTCATACACTCACACACTCACTCATACACTCACTCATACACTCACTAACTCATACACTCACTCATACACTCATACACTCACTCATACACTCACACACTCACTCATACACTCAGTCATACACTCACTCATACACTCACTCATACACTTATACACTCACTCATACACTCACTCATACACTCACTCACTCATACACTCACACACTCACTCATACACTCACTCATACACTCACACACACACTCACTCATACACTCACTCACTCACACACTCACTCATGCACTCACTCACTCGTATACTCACTCACTCATACACTCACACACACTCACTCATACACTCACTCACACACTCACAGGTACACACACACAGACACACTCACTCACACAACAACCGCCATTCGCCACTAAGTGGCGGTGACGTCACCACGACGCTTGTGCCAGGCTATGTGCACCCTGAGGCCATGTGAAGTGTCGAACGCCCGCTGGCAGGAGGTCACGGGGCAGACCTAGATGTCACAGGTCGACTGACTGAGATGACTGGCTGATGCACCACCTGTGCCCCCTACTGTGCCAAACTGCTGTGCTTTAGCCACCCGGCGCTCTGCTCGTTGTTGTGAGTGTCGCTCCTCCGCCCTCCGTTGTTGTTGGAGGGCAACTACCTCCAACTGCCCAATAGCATCCTTCACGAGCCTCCTCCACAGAGGCCTATCTTGACACCGCTGGTACCAGTCATCGGCAAGTCCACTCAGCTCCACGTCCTCCTGTACCACATCACTCCATCTCTTCTCTAGCCCATGCCGCGTCCGCTTAACCCCCTCAATCCGGCCAAACAAAAGCTGTTTCGGCATGCGGTGGCTGGGCATGCGGGCTACATGACCCAGCCATCGTGCCCGCCGGAGGAGCTCACCGATGGGACCTTGCCCAGATCTTTCAAGGATTTGTGAGCTCCTCACACAATTCAGCCTGGTTAAACCCAGGATGGATCGTAGACAGGCTAGCCTAAATGTTTCTAACCGGCGAAGATGTTTCAATAGGGGGGTCCACGTTTCGCAAGCGTAGAGAAGGGAGGGAATGACCGTGGCCGAGAAGACCTGAAGCTTAGTGCGGAGCAACAGACCAGGTAGCTTCCACACAGCGTTACGCAACCGATGAAAAGATATTGCCGCTCGACTGATTGAGTGAGACCTCTGCTGTTAAACTGGAGCCGGTCATAAGCACACTGCCGAGGTATGGGAAACTCCGCTCGCTCCACAACTGCCCCATCACCGATTGGGAGTTGTGGGGGTGTAGTGTCCGATGGTACAAAATACCCAGGCAGGTGCTTAGTTATGGTGGGGCTGATGGTAAGGCCCCACCTCTTAGTGGCACGCTCCAGTCTCAGCAGCAGCGTCTCCAACTCCTCCTCTGAATGAGCAGCTATTACCAAATCATCAGCATACATAACGTGGTTGAGCAATAGGGAGCCATCCCTTGACCGCACCCGGGCATCGATCAGCCTCCCATTATATCTGTACCATATGGAGATTCCCCCGGTACAGCTATTGAAGGCTTCACGAACTACGTGGTCAAAATAGATGTTAAATAATGTGGGAGCCAGAGGACATCCCTGTCGCACCCCAAGGTGTACAGGGAATGGCTCTGACTCCCGGCCATGTAGTTTTACCCGGGCCCGCTCACCATCATGAAGGTCCTTAATGATTGTGAGCAGAGGGTCAGGTACTCCAAAAGCACGAAGAACAACCGAGAGCCCAGGCCTACTGATGGTATCATAGGCCTTGACCAGGTCAATAAAGCAGAGATGTAGGTCTTTTTGGAATTCCCTACACCTCTGCTGTAGCAGACGGACAGAAAATATGGCATCTGTGCAGGACCGCCCTTTCCTGAAACCGCATTTGGGCTCCGCAAGCCTCTCCTCAGCGTGCCTGGCAAGGCGATGCTGAATAATCCTTGCCAGGACCTTTCCCGGCACACTGAGGAGTGAAATGCCCCTGTAGTTGTTACAGTCTGTGCAGTCCCCCTTCTTAAAAAGGGGGACCACCAGGGCATCCTTCCAATCCTGCGGAACCCGTCCAGTGGTCCAGACTGTTGTTATGATGTCATATAGGGCAGTCTGTGCACAAACGCTCCCCTCCCTCAGCATTTCGCTTGGGAGATCATCTCTGCCCGTTGCCCTTCCTGGTCTCAGACTCCGGATCGCCCTCAGTACTTCCTCAACAGATGGCACCTCAGCCAGCCACTCACAGGGGGTGACTTCTTCCAATATTTGAGGCACCGCAGCCTCAGCAGGGTCATCCTTACTTTGTGCCACGATGTTTTTCTGGCTGAGGGATTTTCCCTCCCCCAGGACCTCACAGAAATGCTCAGCAAATCTGCAAACCTGTTCCTGGGGGTCGGAGATTGGATCACCGTTTTTTCCCCTAATGATGGTAATAGGTGTGGCGCTGCAGGTTACTTTTTTGATGGAGTTAAATAGAGATTTGTGATCACGGGCCACTGAGGCAGACTCCATCTCCTCAGCAACCCGCGACCACCACCCATCCTTGCAGCGCCTCACGGCTCTCCGAACCTCCGAGCGAAGGCTGCGGTAAGCTTCCTCATTCTCTGACGTGGGATTCTATAGCCGATGACAGTGGGCCTGTCGCTTTTTCTCAACCATCCTGAACACCTCCTCTGTCAGCCAGGGTCTCTGGGGAGGTCTGGACCGCATACCCAAAGCAGCCATTGCAGCTGCATGAGTCACAGTCCTAAACCTCACCCATTTACCCTCGACATCAGAAGGAGTCGGGGACGATGCCAATCCCAGCCGCAAGCGATGATGAAATTCTCGCTTGCAGCTTTCATCAGATAACTGAGACCAGGCCACTTTAGGTTGGAATGGGGTCCTGGGTGTACACCCACCACCGGAGTGGAAGAATGGCAGGCGCATCTTACAGATGACTAGTCGATGGTCAGAGGGCAGATCAGCTCCACTGTAGGTCCTGGTGTCAAGGACATGGGCTCGCATCCGCTGGTCCGTCACTATGTAGTCCAGCAGATGTTCTTGCGTGGACCCGGCATGCATCCATGATGTTGTGTGGATGCGCCGATGCCGGAACAGCGTGTTGGTAATTACAAGCCCATGGGCTGCACACAAATCTAGCAGCCTCCTACCGATGTTATTGAGCTGATCTGGCCCATGCCCTCCAATCACTCCAGACCAGGTGCCAGCATCATGACCAACTCGGGCATTGAAGTCACCCATCATGATGACTCTATCCCGAGGGGCCACTTTAGCCAGCACCTGTGACAGGAGGTCATAGAAGGCATCTGACTCATCGGCTTTGCCTGCATCCTTCCACGGATGTTCATCTTCGGTGGGGGCATAAGTAACCACGACCACCATTCCTCCCCTCCGGTTGATGGGAAGGCGAGCCCAAAGTAGCCTGGGGCTTACAGCTTCCCACACCTCACCGCCACGTTCCCACGCCCCCTTCATTCTTTTGTTCAAAAGAATAGCCACACCCTGTTGTTTGGCAGTCTGCTGCCCCGAGTAGAGGACTGTCCAACCCTCATGGTGGCAGAACCGGTCCACCGGACCTCCTGAATGCCACATAGATCCAGGCGGTACCGGCCCAGCTCCCGACAGAGGAGTGGCAGCCTCTCCTCCGCAGTGAGCGTTCGAACATTCCACGTGGTCACTCCTGGCTCCGCCAATTGGGGTTTGGCCAGGAGACGTCATAGACGCCTGGCCCCCCGGGGCCTCCGGCACAAGCTTATTAGTTATATTTTTCAGTTGTAGTTTAGTGGTAATTAATTGAAGGTGGAGAGGTTACCAGCCCCTCGCACCCGTCCAGAGCCCCCGTTTAGCCCCTGTGGTGGACACAGACGCCATGAGGGGAGGAGCCAATCGGAATTGGACCTCCCCCCACAGCACTGTCCACGACAGAGTTGCCCGTCCGGCACATACACACACATACACACTCACACATACACACTCACACACTCATTCACACATACACACTCACACACTCACACATACACACTCAAACACTCACACACACATACACACTCACACATACACACATACACACTTACACACTCACACACTCACATACACTCACACATACACACAGATACACAAACTCACACATACACACATACACACTCACTCACACACACTCACACTCACACACTCACTCACACACTCACACACATACACACTCACACATACACACTCAAACACTCACACACACACATACACACTCAAACACTCACACATACACACTCACACATACACACATACACACTTACACACTCACTCACACTCACTCACACACTCACATACACTCACACATACACACAGATACACACACTCACACATACACACTCACACACTCACACACACACACTCACACATACACACTCACACACTCACACACTCACACATACACACTCACACACTCACACACACACTCACACATACACAGACACACTCACACATACACACTCACTCACACACTCACACATACACACTCACACACTCACACACACACTCACACACTCACACATACACACATACACTCACACATACACACTCACTCACATACACACACATACACACTCACACACTCACACATACACACATACACAGACACACTCACACATACACACTCACTCACATACACACACATACACACTCACACACTCACACATACACACATACACACACTCACACATACACACTCACTCACACACACACACACACTCACTCACACACTCACACACATACACACTCACACATACACACTCAAACACTCACACACACACATACACACTCAAACACTCACACATACACACTCACACACTTACACACTCACTCACACTCACTCACACACTCACATACACTCACACATACACACAGATACACACACTCACACATACACACTCACACACTCACACACACACTCACACACTCACACATACACACTCACACACTCACACACTCACACATACACACTCACACACTCACACACACACTCACACACTCACACATACACACATACACAGACACACTCACACATACACACTCACACACTCACACATACACACTCACACACTCACACACACACTCACACACTCACACATACACACATACACAGACACACTCACACATACACACTCACTCACATACACACACATACACACTCACACACTCACACATACACACATACACACACTCACACATACACACTCACTCACACTCACACACTCACACACTCACTCACTCACACACTCAAACACACACAGACACACACACACACAGACACACACACATACACACAGATACATTCACACACACTCACTCCTTCCCCTCCCTCTCCCTCCGGGCATGTCAGGCACTTTCGTGATGAGGGTGGTGGCGAGTGACATGGATGACCCCTTGACGCTCAACGGAGCGATTCGCTACCATATAGTGTTGCAGGTTCCCATGGTGACTGCACACCGCGTGTTCACCATCGACAGATTCACAGGCATCATCACCAATACTGTCCGGCTGGACCGAGAGGTGGGTATCACGTCTGTGTGTGTCTGTGTGTGTGTGTCTGTGTGTATGTCTGTGTGTGTGTCTGTGTGTGTGTGTGTCTGTGTGTGTCTATGTCTATGTGTGTGTCTGTGTGTGTGTGTGTTTGTCTCTAGTGTGTGTTTGTCTGTGTGTGTGTGTGTGTCTGTGTGTGTGTGTCTGTGTCTACCGCGTGTTCACCATCGACAGAGTCACAGGCATCATCACCAATACTGTCCGGCTGGACCGAGAGGTGGGTATCACGTCTGTGTGTGTCTGTGTGTGTGTCTGTGTGTGTGTGTGTGTCTGTGTGTTTGTCTCTAGTGTGTGTTTATCTGTGTGAGGTGTGTGTCTGCGTGTGTGTGTGTGTGTGTCTGTGTGTGTGTCTATGTGTGTGTCTGTGTGTTTGTCTCTACTGTGTGTGTCTGTGTGTCTCTGTGAGGTGTGTGTCTGTGTGAGTCTGTGTCTATGTGTGTGTCTGTGTGTTTGTCTCTACTGTGTGTTTGTCTGTGTGTGTGTCTGTGTGTTTGTCTCTACTGTGTGTGTGTGTCTGTGTGTGTGTGTCTGTGTGTGTGTCTGTGCGTGTGTGTCTATTTAACTACAAAAAAGTAATCTGCAGCGCCACACCTATTACCATCATTAGGGGAAAAAACGGTGACCCAATCACCAACCCCCAGGAACAGGTTTGCAGATTTGCTGAGCATTTCTGTGATGTCCTGGGGGAGGGAAAATCCCTCAGCCAGGAAAACATCGTGGCACAAAGTGAGGATGACCCTGCTGAGGCTGCGGTGCCTCAAATTTTTGAAGAGGTCACCCCCTGTGAGTGGCTGGCTGAGGTGCCATCTGTCGAGGAAGTACTGAAGGCGATCCGGAGTCTGAGACCAGGAAAGGCAGCGGGCAGAGATGATCTCCCAAGCGAAATGCTGAGGGAGGGCGGCGTTTGTGCACAGACTGCCCTATATGACATCATAACAACAGTCTGGACCACTGGACGGGTTCTCACTCTTCAGTGTGCCAGGAAAGGTCCTGGCAAGGATTATTCAACATCGCCTTGCCATGCACGCTGAGGAGAGGCTTGCGGAGCCCCAATGCGGTTTCAGGAAAGGGCGGTCCTGCACAGATGCCATATTTTCTGTCCGTCTGCTACAGCAGAGGTGTAGGGAATTCCAAAAAGACCTACATCTCTGCTTTATTGACCTGGTCAAGGCCTATGATACCATCAGTAGGCCTGGGCTCTGGGTTGTTCTTCGTGCTTTTGGAGTACCTGACCCTCTGCTCACGATCATTAAGGACCTTCATGATGGTGAGCGGGCCCGGGTAAAACTACGTGGCCGGGAGTCAGAGCCAGTCCCTGTTAACCTTGGGGTGCGACAGGGATGTCCTCTGGCTCCCACATTATTTAACATCTATTTTGACCACGTAGTTCGTGAAGCCTTCAATAGCTGTACCGGAGGAATCTCCATATGGTACAGATATAATGGGAGGCTGATCGACGCTCGGGTGCGGTCAAGGGATGGCTCCCGAATGTTCAACCACGTTATGTATGCTGATGATTTGGTAATAGCTGCTCATTCAGAGGAGGAGGTGGAGACGCTGCTGCTGAGACTGGAGCATGCCACTAAGAGGTGGGGCCTACCATCAGCCCCACCAAAACTAAGCACCTGTCTGCATATTTTGTACCATCGGACACTCCACCCCCACAACTCCCAATCGGTGATGGGGCAGTTGTGGAGAGAGTGGAGAGTTTCCCATACCTGGGCAGTGTGCTTATGACTGGCTCCAGTTTAACAGCAGAGGTCTCACTCCGAATCAGTCGAGCGGCAATATATTTTCATCGGTTGCGTAACGTTGTGTGCAAGCTACCTGATCTGTCGCTCCGCACTAAGCTTCAGGTCTTCTCGGCCACGGTCATTCCCTTCCTTCTCTACGCTTGCGAAACGTGGACACCCCTAATGGAACATCTTCGCCGGTTAGAAACATTTAGGCTGGCCTGCCTACGATCCATCCTGGGTTTAACCAGACTGGATTGTGTGAGGAGCTCACAAATCCTTGAGAGATCTGGGCAAGGTTCCATCGGTGAGCTCCTCCGGCGGGGAAGGCTGCGATGGCTGGGTCATGTAGCCGCATGCCCAGCCACCGCATGCCGAAACAGCTTTTGTTCGGCCGGATCGAGGGGGCTAAGCTAGCGCGGCACGGGCTAGAGAAGAGATGGAGTGATGTGGTACAGGAGGACGTGGAGCTGAGTTGACTTGCCGATGACTGGTACCAGCGGTGTCAAGATCAGCCTCTGTGGAGGAGGCTCGTGAAGGACGCTACTGGGCAGTTGGAGGTAGTCGCCCTCCAACAACAACGGAGGGCGGAGGAGCGACGCTCAGAATAACGAGCGGAGTGCCGGGTGGCTAAAGCACAGCAGGTTGGCACAGTAGGGGGCACAGGTGGTGCATCAGCCAGTCATCTCAGTCAGTCGACCCGTGGCACCTGGGTCTGCCTCGTGACCTCCTGCCAGCGGGCGTTCGACACTTCACGTAGCCTCAGGGTGCACATAGCCTGGCACAAGCCTCGTGGTGACGTCACCGCCACTTAGTGGCGAATGGCGGTTTTGTTGTTGTTGTGTGTGTGTTTATCTCTACTGTGTGTGTCTCTGTGAGGTGTGTGTCTGTGTGTGTGTCTGTGTGTGTGTCTGTGTGTTTGTCTCTACTGTGTGTGTGTGTCTGTGTGTGTGTCTGTGTGTGTCTGTGTGTGTGTCTGTGTGTTTGTCTCTACTGTGTGTGTGTCTGTGTGTGTGTGTCTGTGTGTGGCTGTGTGTCTGTGTGTTTGTCTCTACTGTGTGTGTGTGTCTGTGTGAGGTGTGTGTCTGTGTGTGTCTGTGTCTGTGTGTGTCTGTGTCTAGAACATCTGACTGTTGTTGTATCTGTAAAGCAAAACAAATACGGTACATTTTGTGCACTGATGCAGTTTTCCGCATCGTTTAATCTGGCTTCTGCCGCACATCACGGACACAACGTTCGTGTGACGATTGTCTGAACTGGTCCCGGGCCCCCCTAGGTCGACTCGGCCTCAAATGAGTACCTGGTGCGGTGTGTAAACATTGCCACTAGGGAGACAAAGGCGGTCGTGCGTGGTGCTGGCCACCCACCCCCTCGTGTACCGTTCCAGCCTTCATAGGTGCTCGCTAACAGCACTTGCCCCTACAGTCTGTTAAGGCTATATGGGGGATCTTTGTCTGTGTCTATGTGTGTGTCTGTGTGTTTGTGTCTATGTGTGTGTCTGTGTGTTTGTCTCTACTGTGTGTGTGTGTCTGTGTGAGGTGTGTGTCTGTGTGTGTCTGTGTGTTTGTCTGTGTAAGGTGTGTGTCTGTGTGTGTCTGTGTGTGTTTGTGTGTGTCTGTGTGTATGTCTCTACTGTGTGTGTCTGTGTGTGTGTGTCTGTGTGTGTCTGTGTGTGTGTGTCTGTGTGTTTGTCTCTACTGTGTGTGTCTCTGTGAGGTGTTTGTCTGTGTGTGTGTGTGTCTGTGTGAGGTGTGTGTCTGTGTGTGTCTGTGTGTTTGTCTCTACTGTGTGTGTGTGTCTCTGTGAGGTGTGTGTCTGTGTGTGTCTGTGTGTGTGTGTGTGTGTCTGTGTGTGTGTGTGTTTGTCTCTATTGTGTGTGTGTGTGTCTCTGTGAGGTGTTTGTCTGTGTGTGTCTATGTCTGTGTGTGTGTCTGTGTGTGTGTCTGTGTGTGTCTGTGTGTCTGTGTCTATGTGTGTGTCTGTGTGTGTGTTTGTCTCTAGTGTGTGTTTGTCTGTGTGAGGTGTGTGTCTGTGTGTGTCTGTGTGTTTGTCTGTGTAAGGTGTGTGTCTGTGTGTGTCTGTGTGTGTGTCTGTGTGTGTCTGTGTGTGTGTCTGTGTGTGTCTCTGTCTCTCTGTGCACGCCATGTATAGCGGTTACCGCTCTACACTACAAACCCACTCCGTGCGTGTGCCGGGGGGTGACGGTGTGGGAGTGTCCGCTCTGTGTAGAGAGTGGCGCACTTTTCGCTGGTGGTGATGGCTTCAGACATGGAGGGAGACGCCAACATCGGACTCTCGACCACGGCCACCGCCATCGTCACCATCACCGACATCAATGACCACGCCCCCGAGTTCACGAGTAGAACCGTACGGCACGCCGGCACCACCACCGCCACCACCACACACCACCCACACTCACACCGTCACCACCACCCAACCTCAACACTGCACCATAGACTCAACACTGCACCATAGACTCAACACTGCACCATAGACCAAACACTGTACCATAGACTCAACACTGCACCATAGACTCAACACTGCACTATAGACTCAACACTGCACCATAGACTCAACATTGCCCTTAGACTCAACACTGCACGATAGACTCAACACTGCACCATAGACTCAACACTGCCCATAGACTCAACACTGCACCATAGACTCAGCACTGCACCATAGACTCAACACTGCACCATAGACTCAACACTGCACCATAGACTCAACACTGCACGATAGACCAAACACTGTACCATAGACCCAACACTGCACCATAGACTCAACACTGCACCATAGACTCAACACTGCACCACAGACTCAACACTGCCCTTAGACTCAACACTGCCCATAGACTCAACACTGCACCATAGACTCAGCACTGCACCATAGACTCAACACTGCACCATAGAATCAACACTGCACCATAGACCCAACACTGCACCATAGACTCAACACTGCACCATAGACTCAACACTGCCCATAGACTCAACACTGCACCATAGACTCAACACTGCACTATAGACTCAACACTGCACCATAGACTCAACACTGCACCATAGACTCAACACTGCACCATAGACCAAACACTGTACCATAGACTCAACACTGCACCATAGACTCAACACTGCACCATAGACTCAACACTGCACCATAGACTCAACACTGCCCTTAGACTCAACACTGCACGATAGACTCAACACTGCACCATAGACTCAACACTGCCCATAGACTCAACACTGCACCATAGACTCAGCACTGCACCATAGACTCAACACTGCACCATAGACTCAACACTGCACCATAGACTCAACACTGCACCATAGACTCAACACTGCACCATAGACTCAACACTGCCCATAGACTCAACACTGCACCATAGACTCAGCACTGCTCCATAGACTAAACACTGCACCATAGACTCAACACTGCACCATAGACTCAACACTGCCCTTAGACTCAACAATGCACAATAGACTCAACACTGCACCATAGACTCAACACTGCCCATAGACTCAACACTGCCCTTAGACTCAACATTGCCCTTAGACTCAACACTGCACGATAGACTCAACACTGCACCATAGACTCAACACTGCACCATAGACTCAGCACTGCACCATAGACTCAACACTGCACCATAGACTCAACACTGCACCATAGACTCAAAACTGCCCATAGACTCAACACTGCACCATAGACTCAGCACTGCTCCATAGACTAAACACTGCACCATAGACTCAACACTGCACCATAGACTCAACACTGCCCTTAGACTCAACAATGCACAATAGACTCAACACTGCACCATAGACTCAACACTGCCCATAGACTCAACACTGCCCTTAGACTCAACACTGCACAATAGACTCAACACTGCACCATAGACTCAACACTGCCCATAGACTCAACACTGCACCATAGACTCAGCACTGCACCATAGACTCAACACTGCACCATAGAATCAACACTGCACCATAGACCCAACACTGCACCATAGACTCAACACTGCACCATAGACTCAACACTGCCCATAGACTCAACACTGCACCATAGACTCAACACTGCACTATAGACTCAACACTGCACCATAGACTCAACACTGCACCATAGACTCAAAACTGCACCATAGACCAAACACTGTACCATAGACTCAACACTGCACCATAGACTCAACACTGCACCATAGACTCAACACTGCACCATAGACTCAACACTGCCCTTAGACTCAACACTGCACGATAGACTCAACACTGCACCATAGACTCAACACTGCCCATAGACTCAACACTGCACCATAGACTCAGCACTGCACCATAGACTCAACACTGCACCATAGACTCAACACTGCACCATAGACTCAACACTGCACCATAGACTCAACACTGCACCATAGACTCAACACTGCCCATAGACTCAACACTGCACCATAGACTCAGCACTGCTCCATAGACTAAACACTGCACCATAGACTCAACACTGCACCATAGACTCAACACTGCCCTTAGACTCAACAATGCACAATAGACTCAACACTGCACCATAGACTCAACACTGCCCATAGACTCAACACTGCCCTTAGACTCAACATTGCCCTTAGACTCAACACTGCACGATAGACTCAACACTGCACCATAGACTCAACACTGCCCATAGACTCAACACTGCACCATAGACTCAGCACTGCACCATAGACTCAACACTGCACCAAAGACTCAACACTGCACCATAGACTCAACACTGCACCAAAGACTCAACACTGCACCATAGACTCAACACTGCTCCATAGACTCAACACTGCACCATAGACTCAACACTGCACCATAGACTCAACACTGCACAATAGACTCAACACTGCACCATAGACTCAACACTGCACCATAGACTCAACACTGCACCATAGACGCAACACTGCACCATAGACTCAACACTGCGCCATAGACTCAACACTGCACCATAGACTCAGCACTGCTCCATAGACTAAACACTGCACCATAGACTCAACACTGCACCATAGACTCAACACTGCACCATAGACTCAACACTGCACCATAGACTCAACACTGTTCCATAGACTCAACACTGCACCATAGACTCAGCACTGCTCCATAGACTAAACACTGCACCATAGACTCAACACTGCCCATAGACTCAACACTGCACCATAGACTCAACACTGCACCATAGACTCAACACTGCTCCATAGACTCAACACTGCACCATAGACTCAGCACTGCTCCATAGACTAAACACTGCACCATAGACTCAACACTGCACCATAGACTCAACACTGCACCATAGACTCAACACTGCACCATAGACTCAACACTGCACCATAGACTCAACACTGCCCATAGACTCAACACTGCACCATAGACTCAACACTGCACTATAGACTCAACACTGCACCATAGACTCAACACTGCACCATAGACTCAACACTGCACCATAGACCAAACACTGCACCATAGACTCAACACTGCCCTTAGACTCAACACTGCACGATAGACTCAACACTGCACCATAGACTCAACACTGCCCATAGACTCAACACTGCACCATAGACTCAGAACTGTACCATAGACTCAACACTGCACCATAGACTCAACACTGCACCATAGACTCAACACTGCACCATAGACTCAACACTGCACCATAGACTCAACACTGCACCATAGACTCAACACTGCACCATAGACTCAACACTGCACCAAAGACTCAACACTGCACCATAGACTCAACACTGCACCATAGACTCAACACTGCACCATAGACTCAAAACTGCACCATAGACTCAACACTGCACCATAGACTCAACACTGCACAATAGACTCAACACTGCACCATAGACTCAACAATGCACCATAGACTCAACACTGCACCATAGACGCAACACTGCACCATAGACTCAACACTGCGCCATAGACTCAACACTGCACCATAGACTCAGCACTGCTCCATAGACTAAACACTGCACCATAGACTCAACACTGCACCATAGACTCAACACTGCACCATAGACTCAACACTGCACCATAGACTCAACACTGCTCCATAGACTCAACACTGCACCATAGACTCAGCACTGCTCCATAGACTAAACACTGCACCATAGACTCAACACTGCCCATAGACTCAACACTGCACCATAGACTCAACACTGCACCATAGACTCAACACTGCTCCATAGACTCAACACTGCACCATAGACTCAGCACTGCTCCATAGACTAAACACTGCACCATAGACTCAACACTGCACCATAGACTCAACACTGCACCATAGACTCAACACTGCACCATAGACTCAACACTGCACCATAGACTCAACACTGCCCATAGACTCAAGACTGCACCATAGACTCAACACTGCACTATAGACTCAACACTGCACCATAGACTCAACACTGCACCATAGACTCAACACTGCACCATAGACCAAATACTGTACCATAGACTCAACACTGCACCATAGACTCACCACTGCACCATAGACTCAGCACTGCACCATAGACTCAACACTGCCCTTAGACTCAACACTGCACGATAGACTCAACACTGCACCATAGACTCAACACTGCCCATAGACTCAACACTGCAACATAGACTCAGCACTGCACCATAGACTCAACACTGCACCATAGACTCAACACTGCACCATAGACTCAACACTGCACCATAGACTCAACACTGCCCATAGACTCAACACTGCACCATAGACTCAACACTGCAATATAGACTCAACACTGCACCATAGACTCAACACTGCACCAAAGACTCAACACCGCACCATAGACTCAAAACCGCAACATAGACTCAACACTGCACCATAGACTCAACACTGCACCATAGACTCAACACTGCACCATAGACTCAACACTGCACAATAGACTCAACACTGCACCATAGACTCAACACTGCACCATAGACTCAACACTGCACCATAGACTCAACACTGCACCATAGACTCAACACTGCGCCATAGACTCAACACTGCACCATAGACTCAGCACTGCTCCATAGACTAAACACTGCACCATAGACTCAACACTGCACCATAGACTCAGCACTGCTCCATAGACTAAACACTGCACCATAGACTCAACACTGCACCATAGACTCAACACTGTTCCATAGACTCAACACTGCACCATAGACTCAGCACTGCTCCATAGACTAAACACTGCACCATAGACTCAACACTGCCCTTAGACTCAACACTGCACGATAGACTCAACACTGCACCATAGACTCAACACTGCCCATAGACTCAACACTGCAACATAGACTCAGCACTGCACCATAGACTCAACACTGCACCATAGACTCAACACTGCACCATAGACTCAACACTGCACCATAG